CAGTGTAGGAAAAATTTTATGGTCGGTATGGACCTTACGTGAGATGGAGTGAGAAACAGCTGTTTAGAAAGAGAGAGGTATATTAGGTCCGCCCTTTATATCGCCAAACATGCATGCCTGGAAAGGGAAGTTCAACGTTGCCAAACTTATTGGATTTATTTGACCTGTTGTTTTTTTTTTGCATTTGAACAATGTTCTAAGATAATCCAATTTGGGCGAAATTGATTTAAATGGCAGCTTACTGTTTTTTTTATTGGGAATATGCCACAAGTTTACTTTACAATAAGTGTAATATACATTTTGATTTCCACTTCGGAAATCGTTCTCAAGATACTGATTCTCAATTCTCAAAGATACTCAAGATTCAATTTACTGTTTGTATTTTGAGAACGATTTCCGGTGGAAATTGAAACATCAATAAACGTATTTTTATCTTTAATTGTGGCTTATTCCCAGTTAAATAGTAATTAATTTACAATGCCACAAGAAAATAGCTTCAGAACAATACTATATACTTTTTATTACATAATTAAAATTCAACTTAAAATCTACTATATATAACACATATACAAAGATTTTGATATTATCGGCTTTTGTTATACAGAGGTTTATATTTTGTTATACATTTTGTTCTAGGAATATCCTTCGTTTTACAGAATTGAATTTGCGCGCTTCGTTTTCGAGATACACTCGCAAGACTGTACGTATAAAATATTCGTTGTAAATTGAGTGTCTGTTCCGTACGAAGGTCAACTTTGAACTGAACTGGAAATTCAGGTTTGGAGATATAGGGAACTTAGTTCTCTTTTAGAAAATGTAATATTATTCCCGCAAAGTCGATTTTTTTACTTTTGGCTAGCTTTTCTGTATTTTAGAGCACTGTGTGACGTGTACTCTCCAGATGACCATTATTAGTAAAATAATGCACCAAGAAATGCTGGTAGCGACCTCTAACTCTAAATATTTAAATCTTCGTCTTAACAATTTATCACAAACGCATCGAGTATATCTATTTAGAGAAGCTATTAAGCCCAGAAAAACAATAAGCCCGGGAGTTGACGAGATTCCAGCAGAACAGTATAAGGTAGGTGGCAACCACCTATCAAGTCATATCCACGCGCTTATCAAAGAATATGGCAAGAAGAGAAAATACCCGACGAATGGAAGAAAAGTATAGTATGCCAATCTATAAAAAAGGAGACAAACTCCAATGCAAAAACTACCGTGGAATTTCTCTACTATGTACAGCGTATAAAGTCCTCACGTATATTATAAACCACGACTCCACCACTAGCAGAAAATATTATTGGAGAATATCAGACGGCTTCAGACGGGAAGATCGACAATGGATCAAATATTTACAGTCAAGCAGGTCTTGAGCAAATCGTGGGAACACGACATTGATGTTCACAACGTGTTTGTAGACTTCAAACAGGCATACGATTCAGTCAAAAGGGTCAGACTATACTATATATTGGCAGAATTAGCAATACCACATAAGCTAATTAGACTCATTAAAGCCGCAATGGATGAAACTCAGGCAGGTGTACGAATACAAAACAACCGACAGACTTTTTCAAAATCTCGCAGGGACTAAAGCAGGAGATGGGCTGGCACCAACATTGTTTAACCTGGCACTGGAGTATGCGTCAGGCAAATGCAAACTGGACGAGAAAACCTACTGACCAATAAAACGGTTCAACTGGCTGCCTACGCCGATGATATTAATATTATGAGTAGAACATCAACAGGAGCACAGAAGCATACGCAGAGTAAAAACACAAACGAAAAGGCTAGGTCTGGAAATTAACACAGAAAAAACAAAATAATGGTACAGACGAGAAGAAATATAATCCACAAAACATTATACATGAAGATGACATTGAAACGGTTGAAAGTTTACATACCTGGGAGTAGAAATATATGCCGATGGAGCAGAGGATGGAGAAATACGAAAAAGGATAACGCAGGCAAACAAAGCTTATTTTGCCCCTCTCCCATATATTTCGGTCTAAAAGTGTCCACCGAAATACAAAGATGAGAATATATAAAACTTTAATTCGGCCAATAGCATGTTTATGGCAACGAAGCATGGGTCCTGAAAGAAACATCCAAAAACAAACTCGACACATTCGAAAGAAAAGTACTGAGGAGAATACTAGGACCTGTGAGGGAAAACGGAATCTTCAGAATTCGATATAACAACGAGCTCTATCAACTGTATAAGGAAACACACCCCTGTCAAACTTCATTAGAATCCAAAGATTGCAATGGGCCGGACATGTGATACGAATGGGAGAGGATAGGCTACCAAAACGAGCACTGAACGCCAGAATGCAGGAAAGAGACCAGTTGGAAAGCCAAGAAAGCGCTGGGAAGACACAGTAAGCAGCGACGCACAAGCACTTTTAGGAGTCCGTGTATGGAGAAGAGCAGCCACAGACAGACAAGGTGGAGGCAAAAATAAAGGGGCCAAGGCTCATTTTGGGCTGTAGTGCCGTAGAAGAAGAATATCTATTTAGAATATCGAAAACAAATAAACAAAAACTCATACCTGTATAGTATTAAATACTAGTTCGGCGATGCCTTGTCCTTCAACGTTGATCAAATGTGGTTGGAAGAGGGCTTCCGGTGCCTCAAATCGTTCTCCTCCTACTTTTATGACTCTTCCGTCCGGTAAAGTATATGGCTCCACTAAAACAGTTGTTTCTAAAGCTAGACGCTGTTCTGTTTCTATGTCGTAACCTATATAACACAGTTTTTCTTTCATCATTCGTACCTAAAAAAATTTAATCAAGAATTCATTAACAAAGTACTTGACAAAGGATGCAAGTAACAAATAAAGACATATCAATATCGGGGATTTATCAAATCATTATTACAAAACCAGAAAACAAGACTTGGAATAGAGGAACTTTAACATATTAGCAAAGGAACATGGATTTGTCTTTTGGCACTTGGAACGTCACAACTTTGAATAGGCTCGGAATGTTGAGCGCCCTGCTCAGTGAATTGAAAAGATAGAAGATTGGTTTGGCAGCAATTCAGGAAACAAGGTAACTATGGAAGGGTATCCGGGACACAAAATCATACACCATCTTGTCAAGTGGTTTAAATACAGGAAATAAGAAGTTTTGGGGTGGTATTTATAGTCGATTCTTCTCCTTCTTCTTGATGTGCCTATCCGTTACGAATGTTGCCGATCATCATGGCAATTTTTATCTTATCTGCAGCAGCGCGGAAAAGCTGCACAGATGTTGTATTGAACCAGATTCTGAGGTTCTTTAACCAAGATGTTCTTCTTCTTCCTGGACCTCGTTTTCCAAATATTTTTCTTGCAGGATGGCTTAAATATATTATAGTCGATAATAAACTGAAACACATCATAACAGATTTTCAAGCAGTTAATGAACGAATTTGTAGTATACGAATAAAGATGCACTTCTTTAACTTATCCATAATAAACGTCCACTGCCCAAAGAATTAATAATATAAGGACGCCAAAGTAGCTTTTCATCAATTACTAGAACAAACATATATGATCTAATTCTAATAGACCACTACTAAATGTTTAATGGGTTATTTGACCCAGCATATAAATACCACATATAAATCAATACTACAATATGTAATAACAACTTTAGAAACTATGCAGCCAATTCTTATCGGTACAAAAAGCATGGGGGTTCAAAATTATTAAGGGTTGCGACTTAGATTTCTCACCCCTGTCCCAGCCAAAATGTACGGCGTTGCAAAAAAACTAATCTATATACCGATTCGAAACTTTGTATATGAATGCCGTACTGTGTCAAATTACCGAAAATAAAGAAAAAGTTTTTCGAAACCAAAAAATCTTAGATTTCTCACCCCTGTCCCAGCCAAAATGTACGGCGTTGCAAAAAAACTAATCTATATACAGATTCGAAACTTTGTATATGAATTCCGTACTGTGTCAAATTACTGAAAATAGAGAAAAAGTTTTGCGAAAACAAAAAATTTTCCCTGCTTCTGGTACCAAATTATAAATGCAGTAATAAAGTTTGGCCAAAAAAAACTTACCCCCTTGAGTGGTAAGTTTATTTTGCCTTTGACTCACATGTACCGATAAGAATTGATGGCATAGTTTCTAAGTTGTTATTACTTATTGTAGTATTATTTTATATGTGTTTCATGCTGGGTTTAATTTAGGGATTTAAAAATCGCCCGTGGGCTTGTATACTATAACACCAAAAACGACATCAAAACAGTGGTAGGTGGCACAAACGCAAAATGTAGGAATCGAAAAAAAAAACATCCGAGTAATTAGACAGCAAACTTGCTGTCTAAAATAGAGGTCTAAAATACGTTCGTCGACTTTATAAAAGCATATATGATTCAATAAATAGAGCACATTTATACGATTTACTAAGTAATTTAAAATATCTTCCACTGGTTAAGCTCATCCAAATGAGGATGACGGATACGGTGGTTCAGGTATATAGAAAATGTCACACTGAGAGTGCAGTACGGGTAAGATACGGCAATGCTTTTCTTATGGAGAATAAACGCGCAGGGTTGTCGGTTTTCTCCAGCTGTTGATTGCTCATTGTCTCACAGGACCGGCTTGGATAAAATCCATCTGCCGGCAGTACGAATAAAATATTTTATATCATTTATACGTATACAGTAGAATAAAAAGGCATTGATGAGTTATTGACAACGAAAACTATGAATTTTGCATATAAAACGTCAACATGAGATATACAATTGAATCATATTCATAAGAGTAACATTTGAACACCTCTTTACAAGAACAACATACAATAACTGTAATTTTAATGTTTTACATAAAATAGAAAAAACCTAAATAATTTTTAACTGGTAACCTACCAGGTTGCTATGCCAAGGAACTAGGTAAACTTAAGTTGTGTGTAAAAAATGCGAGACTGCATTATGTTTTAACAAGGACAAAAACTGCACTTCAGATTTCCACAAAAAAAAATTTCATAGTAGGTGTTAAAATTTCGCAGTGATTCAAGTGCGCAACTTGTTTTTTTAATAACATCGCCGGGATTAAAAAATGTGCAAAGCTTTTTCGATATTCCCGTTTCTGATAATGTTTTCACATATTTACAAAAGAAAAAGTTTTTCTTGGATATTGGGCTGGGTGCACGGAAATCGAGTTACCGGAGGTTCCACCCGGTATATTTATAGCTATCAAGAAATGTAATTTAAAATACATTTGTTAGTTTAATAAAGTATACAGTTTTATAATAAAATTCTCGCTAAAAACTTAAGGTCTTTTTATTCAAATTCATGCCTCTTATTTGGCTACTTGAAGGCAATTATTTTATCAATATATTATTTTATAATAAATAACAGAGCCCGGCGTAGAGATCTGGGTACGGTTCTGTGACTACCACTTGGACCTGTTTGTATCGCCAAGCACAAGGCGTGAAATCCGGCAATTGTGCATTCCTATATTAGCCGTACTGCACTCTCGGTGTGACATTTTCTATAGATACAACGCTAGATGGCAGGTCCAATTAAAACAACACAAGGATTAAAACAGTACATATATGAATACGTATTAGTTAGAAAACGTCAGAAGGTAGAAACAACAGACATCAATAAATCAGTCCAACTGGAGCATAATGCAGATGGCATAAATATCATGAGCAGAATCAAATCAACAGACGAGAATACGTATACGGAACTTAAGTACCTTCCTATAGGTCTCTTCATAAACACAAAAAAGACTAAAATCCTAGTAAAAATCGGAGAGCAACACGACCCTACCTGACAGTTAACAACTTGGAATAAAGAATAGTCATCACAAGGGACAAATTGACGATGCATAGCTTACTAGAAGAATCATCCTAGCCAATACAGGCATTCTTTGCTACGAATCAGACATTTCATTCACGTGGCATCAGGTAGCGAATCAATACAATATTAATAAATAGACAGAGTGGCCCAAAAGTCTGGAAACGACCAATTATCTCGTAAATTGCTAGTCATAATTTTACAAAATTTGAAGTACACCTATTTTGAGATAAGGAGATTCCATATTTGATATTTGCAATGTTACCAGATTTGCCGTTTCTCTTATATTATTAGTAACTTTGGTTTTTCAAATTCATCACCATGTATATTCAGTCATTATTGGAGTCTCCTATTCAATACGAGTTCAACCATATATTGTAACACTTATGATTTTATGTAGTCTGGAAGGTCTTAAATACATAAAACAGTGCAAAATATGTAGATTTTAATAAATTTTAATATTTAAATGTAGAATGCTGTGATTTTGACATTATTTAACTAAAACTGACAGTAGTTGTACATATATTAATCTATGGTAATTGTATTTCGAAAAGTTCTACAAGATAAATTGTTTCTCTAAAATGGCTCTTAACGAAAAAGAACGATTTACTATTCTAATAATGAGAGGGTACGGTGACATAAAAAGATCTTATTGTGAAATAGCCAACTTGTTAAATGATAATTTCCCAAACCGTTCCCCTATTCATAAGGCAACGGTACAAAAAACTGTAAAACGATTTGATGAATCAGGAAGAGTAAAAGATAGATACCGATCAGGTAGACCGAAAAGAGTTATGAATGACAACAAAACTTTAAATATAATGCAAAGTTTTGTTAAAGATCCACATACATCCTCACGCAGGGTTGCACAAGTACATGATGTAGGTAAGAATAAATTTAAACCATACAAAATTAACTTATTGCAAGAATTAAGTGAAGATGACTTCGATCGTAGATTAGAGTTTACTGAGGTAATGATGGATAAAATCATGAAAATTTCGTTAACAGAATATGGTTGTCCTATTAAGCAACCTTTACACTGTGTGGAAGTGTAAATCGACACAATTTAAGATACTGGAGTGACGTAAATCCACACTGGATGCGTGAAAGCCATACTCAAAGACCACAAAAATTAAATGTATGGTCAGATATAGTAGGTACTCAGTTAAATGGGCCATTTTTTATCGAAGGAAATTTAACGTCACATAGTTACGAAATGTTACTTAGAAATGAAATTGTACCTACACAGAAACTTGTTTGGGGCCAATGTTAATCAGATATGGTTTCAGCAAGATGAAGCTCCAGCTCATTTTGGTGTAAATGTTCGGCGTTATTTAGATGAGATATTTCCTGGATGAGGTAGAATTGAATGGCCTCCACGTTCACCTGATTTGAATCCTAAAATTATTTTTATTGGGGATACTTGAAAAATTCAGTTTACAAAACTAAACCAGCAAGTCTTGCAGAGCTAAGGCAACGAATTATCGATGAATCTCGAATAATTTCTAGGCAATCATGGAGAAATGTGATAGACGCATTCTACCATCGATTAGGGTACTGTCAACTCACAAATGGAGCACATTTTGAACACTTGATAAAGTAACCATGATGTTAAAAAATGTTGTACTCTATCAATTGTTACGTTTTAATGTAATTGAAAATAGTATTAAAAAATTTATTGAGACAATTAGGCGTTGCCAGACTTCTGTTTTATGTATTTAAGACCTTCCAGGCTACATAAAATCCTAAGTGTTACATATGGTTGAACTCGTATAGAATAGGAGATTCCAATAATCACTGAATATACAGGGTGATAAATTTGAAAAACCAAATCAAATATGGAATCTCCGTATCTCAAAATAGATGTACCTCAAATTTTGTACAATTATGACTAGCAATTTACAATATAATTGGTCGTTTCCAGCCTTTTTGGCCAGTCTGTATATACATATATACCACCTTTATCTCAGTATGTTCGCCTACAGCGGCTTCAGTGGACAGGCCATGTATTTAAAATAGAAAAAAAACAGGCTTCCAAAAAACTGTTGAATGCAGAAAAAGAGGGGAGAAAAGAAAGTGATGGGAGGATGATGGAGATCAAGACACAAGAAATCTTCTTGGCAGTCGATCGTGGAGGAGAATGGCTACAGGCAGTAACTAATAAAGAGTTTGTTGAGGGATATCAGGCTCAAATTGGGCTGTCGGAAGGATAGATGAAACAGAATGAACCGAAGAAAAAGCAAAAGACAATATTAAATGCGTACTTGTATATAAGTATATGGAAAAATAAGAATAAAATAAACAAGATAAGTTTATGGGAAAATGTATGAACATCACTATTCTTTTAGGTCTGATTGGAAGATAACAAGTGCAAAGGTTGAGGACATAATATTGAGGATATAATATTGCAGTTATCCGAAATATTATATCCGTCATACTTAATGCGCCAAAATTGTTATCTGTTTTTGCTGATTGTATTTTTTGTTCTGGTATTTTCGCTTCAATATCACCAAAATCTGATAGTACTATATTTGAAGGTACTTAAACTCTTGAGTAAAATTTGTTATAAACCTCATATACGATTTGATGAATATTACTTAAAATTATTAGGTATTTGATAATTATAATAATAACATATTCAAAACCAATCATTAAATAAAACAAAAACTTACAGTTTCAAAATCCGCAGAATGGTTAAACGCGTATCCTCTGAGCAATAACAATTTAATAAGATAGCGGGTGATATCTCTTCCAGCGATGTCCAATCTCCTAGTGAGGTGAGGCAGTGCGTATTCTTCATAAACTGGACATATATGAGTCACTCCATCTCCAGAATCAACTACAACACCTGATAATAAACCCTGGAAAAGATAATGTGATATATGTAGATGACTGAAATCCCATACATTCATGGAATAAACGAACCGATCACTATTTTATCAGTGAAATTATAGTAAAAATTACTTTTAATAGCATAAATAACTTTTCAAAATGTAGGTACATCAAATACATATCAATCACTGCTATTTTCAATTTTACTGTAAAATTAATACAGACACATTAAATATTCTTTATTGCGGTTCCATATTCACGGATTGAAAAAAAATTACCACTTCCTGTATTCGCCTCTGAGAATTTAGTAGCATAATTTCAAAATTATTAACACCAAATACGAATTATTAACGGTCGAATGTTTATAGAAATTATTTTCATAGAAAATAATATAAAAAAATTAACAAATTTCTAAACAAAACAGACAAATTTATTCAAAAATATGTACGAACAAAAAAAGGTAAAATCAAAAAGGTAAATTTCACACTGCGGCCTGAAAGACCTAATGCCTTATTAATTTAAAACAAAAAGAGATATGCTTTTTTGTATATCCTTTTTAATATATATTTTTGTCTTAACTATTTTCGGTTATAACATAGTTTACTAATTGAATGCTTAAAGAAAACAACGTTTTTGTCCCTCAAAGTTTATTGAAAGTAATGAAAATCAACAATTTTCCTTAGATATAGTAAATATTGAAAAAGGGCAATTTTAATTTGATGTCCTTTTTGTTGAAACAAAAGGAATTTTAAGAACTTCCGTAGCGAGTATTTCCTCCTCTAGCAGTGATAACGGCTAGCAAACGACGAGGCATGCTTTGGATCAGATTTTGGATCACATTCTGCGAAAGATTGTTTGTTTCCTATAGCAATATGTCGCGAAACTCTCTTATATTTGTGGTGGCCGGCACATGACTTCGTAAACGTCTGTTCATCTCATTCCAAACATGTTATAGGGGTTTGATATCTGGACTGCTAGCAGGCCAAACAAATCGTGTGATTTGAACCTCGTCAATATACTGAGTAACTATCCGAGCAGTATGGGGCCGTACATTATCATGCATAAATATTGCATCGTCTTCAAGAATCCTTATAAACGGTGAAACATGGTCTTCTAGAACCTATGTCGGGTACCTATACGCAGTCAATGTCCGATTATTGATAAAGACTAACTCCGTGCAAGCGTCAAACGACATGCCTCCCCATGTCATAACTGAACCTCCACCAAATGGAAGTCGCTCGGCAATACATGCTTGAGCATATATCTCGCCTGGACGTATTTTGTAAGTACCAATAAATTATGATTGCATCGCGAGTTTAAGAGTAGGAAAATTAAGTATCCAAAAGAAGATTTAAGTTTTGGTTAGGACGTGAGATCGATCGTTTTTGGGAGCAGATCCAAGAAGGGAGTTAAGCTAGCGAAGTGACAAGAGAGTATCTGGGTCAATTTTAGAATTGAAAGTTAATCGGTTTATTAAGAAAGTTTTATAGCAGTATAGTAGAAAGAAAGTAGTATAGGTCATTTAGTAAAGCGAATTAATTTTGACTGAGCAGTTTTCAATTCTCAGGATAGGGAATGAGCGATACTTATAGTTGGTTTTAGTTTAGTGTTAATGTAATCTATGTAATAAAATTTTTCAAGGTATTTTATCAATATATTTTAATTGTATCGAACATTGTGGCATTTGTTTTATTGCCTTCAATTTCTGTTGTATGCTGTGAACACTATTAAAAGACACAGGTATTTCAGAACTCACAAAAAAATGAAGATTAAATTTGAAGATCTGATTTACAATTTGGCGTCTGTAATTCTGTAATAAGTCTGTAAGATCATTAGGATATTTATTGAATAAAAACTGATTCATTTATTTTTATTGTTTGTTTTATCAATTTAATTGAAAAAAGAAATTAGGTTTTTACGAAAGATTGAACAATATTATAAAACATACAATACCGCTATTTAATTTAAACTGAAATCCTTTAAAAACGAGCCGTACATGACGCCTACTAGGAATGTGAATTAAATAAAGACTTCTGCATTTAAGATTTTCTATTTGCCGGTGAAACAAGATGCGGTTGTCTAGCTCGGGGCTTCCCAAACTTATTTGTACTGTGACGCCCTTGAGACTTTGCTATTTTTTTGCGACGACCCCGTAACCCAACCCCAATAATACTTACCAATTTTAGTAGTAGGTTAGTAACAGGTTATAGTTATAACTAAACACTATTTGAACATTTATATTTTTTATTAGAAATTAAGAACAAAATCAAAACATAGGCACAAAAATGAAAAGGGATATTTATTTATGTAACTGGCTGGTTAATGTAAGGGATGTTCTTGCTTTTTTGAGCACAGCTTATGAAACCGGGGCTCTAGTTTGGAAATTGCCACTCTAATTTCTTTTTCTAAGTTTTTGTTTGACCTGTACTTGTTTTTAATTACTACAACTGCAGAAAACCCCGTTTTCTGCAAATGCAGTGCAAAGTGAGCTCTAAAATTCAAACAGTTTGTCCTTGTCGTATTGAAGCTTTACGCTGGAATAATTTATCAAAGGGTTCGCTCAATGAAAACATGTGTTGTGTAAACATATTTTTTAAAGTGAGATCAAGGATTTCTATCGATTTTTCTTCTAGAATACCTTGTAAAGCAGAGAAACAGTAAATTTCTTGATCTTCTAATTTTCTCTTTCATAAGAGCAACTTCTTCTGAAACCCAGTAATTTTATTTGACAATTGCAGGATATGAGTATTGTTTCCCTGCAAAGACTTATTAAGACTGTTTAATTTGTTAAATATGTCACAGAGGTATGCTAATTTTATTTCCGTACCTCGGAGGTAAAGGACACTATGTCCATTTTCTTACTTTTTAAGGAGAGCAGTTTTAACATGTTTTAAATTTGTAATCAGTAAATACTCAAATGTTTCTGATATTTAACCAAAATTAATATAATATATTAATTTTATATAATTTAAATATAATATATTAATTTTGGTTAAATATCAGAAACATTTGAGTATTTACTGATTACAAATTTAAAAAATGTTAAAACTGCTCTCCTTAAAAAATAAGAAAATGGACATAGTGTCCTTTACCTCCGAGGTACGGTTATAAACTCTGAATTAATTATGTTTTGCGCATCACCTTGTGATTCTATATGTAGATACGTGTAAAATTCATTTCTTAAGGCTGTTTTATCGGTGCAGCAAAATTTTTTCTCTGTTATTTACCGACGAAATGTCTCGAAATTTGGACATGTTATACGAAATTATGTTGCCTTTAAACTGATGGTTTTACTTTTTTTATTTTTTTGAATTTTCTGTTGAAAAATTGGATTATACTGTTTAACGTTCTATTATAACCAAACTTTTCACGCCCATCAGTTGAAAGAGTTTATTTTTCTGTAATCGTTGATTTTTTTTTCACCTTTCTGTGTCCAGTAATAATCGAGAAAAGCGTATTCAAACTTTGAAGAAAATTGCTAAAAAATACTGAAATCTAATAGTGAAACGTGTTCCTCATCATTGTCGCTGAGCTTGATCGTTATCGCATTAGTGACGTCAAATCTCATGAGCGTACGGTACGGTTTAGTTCGCTTGAATTAGAATCCATTTTAGTTCTTTCATTCTTGTATTTTCTTTATCAACTTGCTTAGTTTTTACAGTTTAGAGTATTCTTATTTATTTTGAAAACATTGAAATTATTTAGCTTACGTGTATGTTAAGTAATATATTACTAGTTTAGTGGTATAAGTTAAAAGTTCTTTAGTTTACGCGTATTTTTAAGTATTACATTAGGTTAGTGATATAAGTTATAAGAGACAAGTTAAAAAATGAGTCCCAGTAAACGTCCTATGTCAAGGAAAAGGAGAGCAATTGCACTGCTTTAGTATTTATTATTTATATTACAACCGTTTTTAAAAGCTTTTATTTAACTTGACTTTGTACATTGACTTTTAAATGTCAAATGTGGAATATTGAAAAGGAGATAGCAACATAGGATTCTGGTAACAATTCACTGAACTTGAATGGTTCTGGTTATTCAGACATACAGCAGCAGCACGCTGCATTAAATATACCTGTGATTTCCTACAGGCAGTATGCAAAACATACGGAAACAGTTGCAGATATCATCGGCCAAACACTTTGTGATTCCTTAGAAGAGGCTGGACGGGAGGAATTAGCTTTAGCCAAAGAAATTGGTGAAGTAGAATCCGACGGAAATTGGTTAATAACCGTTATAGCTGATGGTGCTTGGTCAAAATATCGTATAAAGTAAACTACGATGCTTCTTCAGGTGTAGTACCTGACGTTGTAAAATTTATTAAATTAGTACGCCTTTGATGGAATAGGACATGTAATTAGGCGAGATGAAGATGAAACGATCAGAAAAATTTTCGACCGAAGAGGACCAGTGGGAAGACGATCCAGAGGAAGACCAAAACTTAGGTATCAAGATAACATAGAGGATGATCTAAAATCCATCGGAGTTAAAGCATGGAGAAAGTTGCCAGAGGCAGGGGCGAATGGAAGATTGTTCTGAAGAAGCCTTTGGCTCATGACGAGCTGTAATGCCACTGATATGATGAAATAACTATCCACGATTTGTGTTTTATTCATCAATTGGATACTTTTCTTATGTAACTGCAACCTATAAATATATTAAAATAATGTATATTCCATTCAGAGAACTTTTTCCTTGCAGTGCGTCGCCTCGAAATACTTGCCAGATAAATACATTTACTATTATGATGGTTTCGCAGGTACCAATTTTTTTATAGATAAATAAAACTATTTTTTGTTTAATTCTTACTACGCTAATATCAGTTTTCTCTAACAAATAAATAACTTCTTGAAATAATTTTCAAGCTATAACTGCGAAATTGTTTATTTGTTTGTGACAACAATTGTAATTTTTTGATAACAATATTCTTATGTTATTTTAAATTTATTATAAATAAACACCATGGTGTTTTTTTGCAGTCACGTTACACAAATTTTTATTTAATACTATGTTTAGCTAAGACATATAAATTAAAAATGTGATTAATTCTTTTTAAAACATTATCTACGATAATTAATCAAAAAAAAGTATTCCGACAAAACTAATTTGAATGGAGAATAATGCATTTATTTTAAACAACCCGTGGCCGGCGCCACTGAATAAACATACAAACTATTAGGAAGTTACGTACGGCGTACGGTCTGACATAGCAGTGTAGAAAAGTAAGTGATACGCCCACTTCAAATCGCAGTATGCTATAACTGCGAAAACAGCCTTAATTCGTACACTCGTGTGAGTATGTTGTCTTTGGACAGCCAACGATAGTTGCAATAATAAATTAAAGAAGTGTGATCGGTCCCCATTTGTTCACAACGTTTATGGAAAAGTCTTGATTTCACGGGTCTTGTTTTAATGTAGTTCATCACTTTAATAATGCTATCCATCAGTACACTTAATTCAGGTGTAACGTTCTTTGCTGCTAAGGTCTATGTATGACATAATGTGTCCATTTTACACTTGAAGCCTTGATTTTGATGAGAGCTTGTAGTCCTCCATACTGTCCAGACATCGGTCAGACACCATCCGTAAACACGTTACACAGTTATCCCAGTTAATATTATTTTCAGTCATATATGAGTTTAAAATCTCGAATAAATCAGTAGCTTTATAACTTTCACATATTTTTCTGCAAAATAACAATTCCTCACATATAGTTGTTTCTTGTATGTACCCTACATAACATATCAATTGAGCATCATCATTACTATCAGTCGCCTCGTCCAGTTGTATGGCAAATACGCCTGAAAGTTTCCTCACAATTCGCTCTATCGTCTCGATGTTATACTTTGATTTATTTCTTAATACATATATTTTATACTCATTTAAAATCAAATAAATATTAAGTGAAGATGACTTCGATCGTAGATTAAAGTTTACTGAGGTAATGATGGATAATATCATGAAAATTTCGTTAACAGAATATGGTTGTCCTATTAAGCAACCTTTACACTGTGTGGAAGTGTAAATCGACACAATTTAAGATACTGGAGTGACGTAAATCCACACTGGATGCGTGAAAGCCATACTCAAAGACCACAAAAATTAAATGTATGGTCAGGTATAGTAGGTACTCAGTTAATTGGTCCATTTTTTATCGAAGGAAATTTAACGTCAGATAGTTACGAAATGTTACTTAGAAATGAAATTGTACCTACACTGAGAAACTTGTTTGGGACCAATGTTAATCAGATATGGTTTCAGCAAGATGAAGCTCCAGCTCATTTTGGTGTAAATGTTCGGCGTTATTTAGATGAGATATTTCCTGGATGAGGTAAAATTGAATGGCCTCCACGTTCACCTGATTTGAATCCTAAAGATTATTTTTATTGGGGATACTTGAAAAATTCAGTTTACAAAACTAAACCAGCCGGTCTTGCAGAGCTAAGGCAACGAATTATCGATGAATCTCGAATAATTTCTAGACAATCATGGAGAAATGTGATAGGACGCATTCTACCATCGATTAGGGTACTGTCAACTCACAAATGGAGCACATTTTGAACACTTGATTTATTTACTTATTTGATTTATTTCTTAATACATATATTTTATACTCGTTTAAAATCAAATAAATATATATTCCGTATTAACCCACCTGGGACAACGCAGCGACGCCCCAGGGCAGTTTTGGAAGCCCTGGTCTAGGTACTAAATTTTCCGCTAAAAATAACACTTCCGCGTTTAAAATTCTTACTTAATATTCCTTATTTATGTTATGCACATTCGTAACTGTTTATAGAGCATTTCTCCGCGAACAAAACATTTTTATTCTATATGATATACAGTGCAGGTGTAGGAAAAAGTTTATGGTCGGTATGGACCTTACGTGAGATGGAGTGAGAAACAGCTGTTTAGAAAGAGAGAGGTATATTAGGTCCGCCCTTTATATCGCCAAACATGCATGCGTGGAAATAATAAAAAAGGGGAAGTCAACGTTGCCAAACTTATGGTTTTATTTGACCTGTTGTCTTTTTTGCATTTGAACAATGTTCTAAGATAATCAAATTTGGGCGAAATTGATTTAAATGGCAGCTTACTGTTTTTTTATTGGGAATATGCCACAAGTTTACTTTACAATAAGTGTAATATAACATTTTGATTTCCACTTCGGAAATCGTTTTATATAAATAAAATTTATTAATGTTTCGTATTTTAAGTACGATTTCCGAATTAAAAATCTAAACATCAAAATAAGCTTATTTTAAAGTCACATTGTGCCTTATTCCCAATATGAAATAATAAACTGCATACAATAACGCCACATTAAAAAATATTCATACACAATAATTATTTGGCAACGTCGTCTGGTCAAAACACCGAGTAACGAGTAGTAGAGGTGGGTCGTGGTAGTTTTATCGTTAAGAGCGTAGGCACAAAATTTCGGGCCAATATTTTTAAATGCATTCATTTTTTTCGAATCCTGAGAAAACTAATAAATATTTTTGAAAAATTTAAACGCAGAATGAAACAATACATTATTACCGAGGGCCGAAAGTCCCTGAAAACTTCTATAATGTTTATTTTAATAAGTTATAGGGGTGAAAAAAAAATTAGTGTGATTTTTAATTTCAAATATCTCATTCAAAAAACTTTTTGTTTATTCTAAGGGACTTTCGGCCCTCGGTAATAATGTAATCTTTTATTCTGCATTTAAATTTTTTCAAAAATATTTGTTAGTTTTCTCAGGATTCCAAAAAAAATGAATGCATTTAAAAATTTAAATTTTTGTAAACAAGTAACTATGATTGTTTAAAAGTAGTTTCAAGTAAGAGAGTACCTACATAAACAAACATAATGGCTATTATCGTTTATGTGTATATTTATTGAAGTGAAAGAAACTAATGATATATTTATTATAACTTGAAAAATAAACTAAACAATACAAATAGTAAATCGTACTTACATTTACATTACACGTTATTATTAAATCGCGAATAGTCTAAATTGACATTAAAAAACATAAGTTTTTCTACTTTACTTCTTATTAACCGTCTTCTTTTTTTATTTCAAATTAAACCAGATTTTGAACATGTGTTCACATTTACAATACTTTATGAATATAGTGGTTAAGTTAGGATATACATGGCGATGGTTTTTCCACCGTTGTAATGGACTCTCGATACAGGTGTACGTGTAGATGAGCCATCTCCAATTAATTGATCAAAAATACACCATGGATTTAAGTCATCTTTATTGGTTTCTTTTTCTTGTACTGGTTGATTTTCAATAGTACAATCTTCTTGTTCGTTAATTATAGAAGTAACCAGCTTCTTAACTTTTTCTTTTATTTTTTTATCTTCATTTTTATCAGAAAAACCCTGCACTTTAAATGGTGAATCCATAAATGTACATAATGACAATGTGCCACTCTGTTAGTAATTGTACTACGTCGGATACTATGGATGTAAGGTTACCGTTTGCTAAAATTTTATTGCAAGATTCTTGCAGGCAGCGTACCATAACAATCACTGAACTACCCTTCAAGTATTTTTGGTCACTCATTGTACTTGTTATTTCTTTAAACGGCCGTAAAATTTGGGAAAGCTGAGAACAAATAATCCAGTGTTCTTTATTTAGATTTGGTCTAAGTCTAAGTCTGTATTATTTAATACCGATGTGGAACGGATTGCCTCTTCTAACTCGGTCATTCTTTTTAACATGTAATAGGTGAAGTTCTACCTAGTTTCCACGTCTTGGATTGGCCGTTTGGGAACTTTGTTATGTTGTAATTAATACTTTAAAAGCCTTTCTGAAGATAAGGTACTTTTTTTAAATGTGTTTTTTTGCAGAATTGTCGAAAAAAGGACTTTTTATTTTATCTATTATCAAATCAGTTTTGACATAACATTCCTGAAGTAATGAACCTGACAGTTTTTCTTGTTGGCGGTTTATATCCAGGAATCCACCCTGCAAACTTTTTAAAAGCTGGTTCTTCACCTATGGAAAACGGATGAAACGAGTCTTTGCATAAGTTTAGTAAATCTTGAAAATCAACCAGTACAAGAAAAAGAAACTGATAAAGATGACTTAAGTCCATGGTGTATTTTTGATGAATTAATTGGACATGACTCATCTAAACATACACCTGTATCGAGAGATATAAAAGAAGTCGACATGTATTTGTCTGATGATATATTACTCACAAAAAATTTCGAACGGAGATTGGAACTGTCCATTACCGTGGTGGAAAAACCATCGCCATGTATATCCTAACTTAACCACTATATTCATAAAATATTGTAGTATTGTAACAAAATCTTTTCCTTGTGAACACATGTTTAAAATCTGGTTTAATTTTAAACAAAAAGACACGGTAACAAGAAAAGTGGAAAAACTTGTTTTTAAATGTCAATTTAGACGATTCGCGATTTAATAATGTGTAATGTAAATGTAAGTACTATTTGTATTGTTTAATTTATTTTTCAAGTTATAATAAATATATCCTTCGTTAGGTTCTTTCACTTCAATACTTATACACATAAACGATAATAGCCAATATGTTTGTGTACTCGCTAATTTGAATACTGGTAAACAATCAACTAGTTACAGTTTACGAAAAACGGTTCCGATAAAAATTTAAAAAACGAGAGGACCCACCTCTAGATTTTTAGGTATATTAGGATCGGAACCAGAGAATATGTAAAATATCTCTGATCGGAACTATTCGTCTCACTAATGGGCAATGAGTGTTAAAAATATTTATGGAGGGGAGACCAAGGGGAAATATGATTGTTATCTTTGTCTATTCGCTGAAAATATGATTTTGTATCTGCGTTAGATATCCTGTTAAATTTTACCATACCGACCATAAACTTTTACTACACTGTATGTTACTTACTTGGGCATAAAGAGTCAACACAGCTTGAATGGCAACGTAAGCACCGGCAAATCCATACTTTTCAAACATAACTTCAATCATTTTTTCCCTGTTTTTGGTAGGGTTCATAGGAGGTTCAGTCAGTAGTATCTAAAAAACACACTATATAATATTGTACTAGTACGAAGAAAATTAAACTAATTGAGAAATACATAAAAATCAATCTTACTTTGGTATCTCTTGGATTTAAGTCCATCTTTTTAGGACCAAACGTATAGTCCCAGACATGGCACATATCTTCCCAATTTCGGACGACCCCATTTTCCATTGGGTAATTGACTTCTAGAAGTGACCTAAGAGCCGAAGCTTCATCTCCTACCATGAGATCCTGTATTAAATAATAATTTAGAGAAACAACTAATAAAATTATACAATATATTACTATTTTCAAACACTAAAAACATCTAGTCACTAATGTCGTTAATTCAAATTACAACAAAGTTTTAGGTTTGTTAATTAAGGTTAAAATAGTATCATCATTATTGGGTGTCAAGGATTTAGCTAAAAAGACTTTTTTTCATTAAAATTCTTAAAATATAGGTATGGAATAGATAAGTTATTAATCTCCATGTTATGTTAATTTATAATCTACAAAGAATTAGTTGAAAAAGTAATAATCTCATCTATGTTGATAAGTATACGAAGTCTGTTCCAAAAGTACCCGAACTTTGTTCATACTTCGCCTCTGTGGAGTACTAGTGCAATCACGTAACTTTTCACTTATTGCCATATACTGGAGTTACCAACTGGAAGTGTGTAGTTAAAGCCCCCTCTCTCTGTGGAATTTTTATAATATTTCATATCGTTAATGCGAAATAACCACAACTATAGTTGAAAATAAGTTTATTTTGGCGTTTCAGTTTTAACTTCGGATTTCCGAATTTCGTTTTTTTTTTAGAACGATTTCCAGATTTACTGTTGGCAAATCGACATTTGCCAGGATGCGCCGCGATCTGCCTACCTCTACTTATGAAGTAGAAGTGACTTTGTAGTAGTAGTAGTTGGTAAATTGGATTTTATACGTTTATCAATTTTTTTTTAAGCTGGAGATGACGGAGAGACCAGAGCAATAATTTTGGTTTTGCTTAACTCGAAAAAAATTGCGCAGAAAATATTGAAATGATGCAAAATTTCTTTGGGGATGTGTGTATGAGCAAAACATTACAATTCAATTACAAAATTGTTCAAGGCAGGGCAGAACAGAACAAGATTCGCTTAAAAGTCGTTGCGGACAATTTAGAAAAGATCGCTAACGATGAAAATATGCTTAAAACATCTATCTATCTATCTATACAGCCCTTGCTGTCCAATTTTGGACATAGGCCTCCTCTTCCTTCTTCCACGTCTCTCTATTGTAGGCAGTTTGTATCCACTTCGGGCCTGCGTGTTTCTTCAAGTCATCTGATCATCTCATTTGTGGCCTTCCTCTTTTTCGTTTGTAACTATATGGTCTCCAATGTATAATCATCTTATTCCATCTGTCGTCTTTCTGTCTTATGGTATGTCCAGCGAACTTCCACTTAAGTTTTGCTATCTGCGTTGATACATCGGTCACTTTTGTTTTGTTGCGGATCCAAGTATTTCTTTTCTTGTCTGATAGCCTGATGTTCAGCATTTGCCTTTCCATGGCTCTTTGGGTCTTTGCTATTTTTTCCATGTTTTCCTTTGTACACGTCCAAGTTTGAGAACCGTAGGTGAGAACAGGAAGTATACATTGGTTGAAGACTCTTCTCTGTATCTGTATCCTTCTCTTTATTCCTCCCGTCTGATTTTCTTTATTTAATTTAACTAGTTGTCCCAAATATACATATTCTTTTACTTGTTTTATAGTTGTTTGTGCAATTGTAATTATTAATTCTTCTGGTTGGTTGGTCATGATTTTCGTTTTATTATAATTCATTTGTAGACCTATTTTTGTTGAATCGCTATTTAATTCATCCATCATATTTTGTAATTCTTCCCTTTTATCTGTTATTAATACAACGTCGTCTGCATATCTCAAGTGATTCAAGTATTTTCCATTTATGTTAATACCCCGTTTTTCCCATTCTAATTCCCTCATAACGTCTTCCAAAGCTTGATTGAATAGTTTGGGTGATATAGTGTCAACCTGTCTGACTACTCGCCGTATCTTAATAGGCTCCGTTTGTTCAACTATTTTAATGGATGTTGTTGCTTGATCATATATATTGGAAATTAAGTCCGTATATGTATAGTCTATTCCGCCATTTTGTAAAGAGTTCTTTACTGCCCAATGTTCCACCTTATCGAATGCTTTTTCAAAGTCTACAAATGGCCTTTTCGTTGGACTTTTCAATTAATATTTTTATCGTAAGCAGATGGTCGCTTGTACTGAATCCTTTTCTAAAACCGGCTTGCCGTCTTGACTGGTAATTATCTAACTTAGTTGTTAATCTGTTTGTTAGTAGTTTAGTTAACAGTTTGTACATTACATTAAGTAGCGTTATAGGCCTATAGTTTTTCAGATCTTTCTATCACCTTTCTTAATAGTAATAGTGTTATTGCCTCGTTCCATGTGGTAGGTATTTGTTTTGTGTTCAATATTTTATTTATTAGTACACTGTAGTTTTCCCATTTTTTAGCTTTTCCACAGTTATTTCATCTTTCCCAGGAGATTTGTTATTCTTCATTTCTTTGAGTGCCTTTTTTATTTCATTTTTACTGATTTCTGGTTGTAGGTCAGAGTTAACGTTCTTTATTTTCAGTTGTAACTGATTACGGATTTACATTTACTTAAAATCATCATTACGTATTAAATATTCTGTTGATATGGAGTAAAGCCACAATTTATTGTAATGAAAATTACATTTTTAAATAACGTTTGACGTTTCGATTTACACTCCGAAAATTATTTTCAAAATGTTTTTCAAAACTAATTGTTGACTTACTTGGCCTCGATCTTGTAAGCAATGCCATCTTTAGGTTGACAAAATCCGAGGGTGATGCTTACTACAGACTTACAACAACTGATGTTAAATCGAATGAAGATGAGTTCGAAGGATGCCATGAGCTGGATGAGAAAGAATAAAGCATTGCAATGTTATGACCGAAAGTCAGTACTTTTGGGACAGAGCTCGTAGAACATACAATCATATTCATAACGGTAATTGACAATGTCATTTTTTGGTAATTTTAAAGTGATTTGTGACATGCACACTTTATACCAAAGTATACCTTTTATTACATGACATTTGAAAAAAAAAACGGTTACGAACTTGCAAGTTTTATAAAGATGTTTCCATTATAAAAGGGCACACTGTATAATACAATAAATAATACAATTTTGCAAAAATATAATTTGATAATAATAACATAGAGATTCTTCTTTATACACAAAATTTCAAAAAATTGTGGTGCATTCGAGTTTTTTCAATTCCGTACACTTTTTGATTTTCGTTAACTGTATTTATGTTCTTTCGCATTAATGTAACTACAATCCGTAAAAGTTAAATCATATTACATACGTCATAAATTTCTACGTTTAAAGTGGTTTGTCAAGAATTAACATCAGTCAAGAGTTTTTATATTCTTACATTTTCCCCCCAATATTAATTTTTTCTTGCAATGAAAATTATTGGAAGCTAGTTCTGTTATTCGGTGAAACCAAATAAAGCGTACGTTATTGGTGCTACAGAGTTTAGAGAAGGAAGGGTAAAATTTTTCCTCTAACTACTATCGTGTAGCATGACAATTTTTGGGGCGGCTCATAATGGTAAACAATTTCTTACACCAGAGATAAGTTGATCCTTGTATCAACGTAATTATGATCAAAGTACTTAGCTAACAAACCGCTGTCTTAGAAAACTCGTATAAAACTGCATAGAACACTAATAGTCCCCGTGCTCACATATGGAGCAGAGAGAGGCATGGACCCTAACTAAAACAGACGAATCCTTTCTATCGGTTTTTGAAAGAAAGGTACTACGAAAAATTACAAGTACAAAGATTAAACCTCTTTTTGTGATACATGGTATACGGCCAGCTGCAGGAATTTATTTTCCTTGTGGATTTTTTTACGAAAAATATTTAGAGCTGCCTGTGAAAACGGAATGTGCAGGTGTAGATATAACTTTGAACTGCAGAATATCTACAAGCATAATTATGATGGTAAAAATATTACCACTAGAATCAAGTGAAATCGTCTGCAGTGGTCAGGACATGATCCAGCCCGAGCCTCGGAATCGAACATGATAAAAAAGATTTTAACAGCGCAGGGATAACATGATGCTGAGAAGATCGGTGTTGTCAACTGAAAATCCAAGCAAGGGACAGAGCAGAATAGCGCAGAAAGCTTCAGAAGGTCGAGATGCTTTAAAGGTTGTAGCACCGTGATGATGATGATGAATCTTTGATCAGAGATTCAAGATTATGTTGATAAGTTTTCTCTTTTTTATTAGACCCAATTTTTTTAAGCAAGTTAATATAAGACCAGTCGTTGCTATCTGTGTACTTCAATATTCAGATGAAGTCGAATTTGAGCGTTTAGAATGGCTAGGAGTCATGTTTGCATCCGATCAAACATGTGCGGGACCAAGTAGGGAATGATTTAAAGCTAGGAGAATGTTGATTAAAATTTCGTTAATAGCCTTATTTGAAATACCTATGCCTAGACGAATTGCTGTAGTCATATCATGAAAAGCTTGAAAAAAATACCTCTTCAAGAATGAAGAGACATTAACGACACTAAAAGACACATAAAATTACTGAAGGAATGGAAAAGAAAAGTATTTTAGAAGTGTGTAAAATATTTAATTCCCAGCTGAGCGCTTTCGGCTTAAAAAATCATCCTCAGAGCTATGGTCAAATTTATAAAGTCCACTACTAAAGAGGGATCCCATATATATATATTATATAATATATATAATATATATATATATATATATATAATATATATATATAATATATATAATATATACCATTTTATCAACCAAAGAATAGAATAAAATTTTATTTTGTAATAGAACGCGGTGACATAAATTTGCAACGCCCTGTACATCGATTTGTAAATATTTGTTATAAGTTAGTTTAAGCAGTGGGTTTATCCATAATGAGTTTTACCTGGTAAAACCAGGTCAAAAGCCATCAGGTAGTTATTGTATTTAGAAAGTATAAGATAAAACCGTTATCATATTCAAAGAAAGTTGTTTAGAAGCAATGCTTGGGTTTTTCTGATGTAAAATAAGAAGAGGGATATAGGAATTTTCTGATTGGTTAGAGAGTTTAGAATGGCGATGAAAGAGAGTGAATGTTTTGAAAGTTTGGAGTAGAAAAAGATTAATGTGATGGTTACCCGAAAGAAGCAGTTGAAGTTTTGTGTAGTCAGTTAAGAAGCAAGTGCCAGTGGTGTTAATAGTTAGAAGTGGGTGGCTGAAAGGTGGAACGAGAGATACGTCAACGTTGAGAAGTCGAATACCTCCTTGATTCTATAAAGTCCAAGTGAGTAAGTCACAAGAACTATAACTATTCAAAATATTTGCGACACCAAGTACAAAAAATATTACTTGAGTCTCAGGAGATTGTTAGTATATGAAAGAGAGGAGAGAATTTGGAGTTTGTTAAACGAGTACTGGTAAAAGAGGCCTGCTCGTGTTTTTGGAGAAAGAGTTGCTGGTATGCTGAAGGTTGATATTTAGAAGAAGGCTTGATTGGTAGCCTAATATAATCAACAAGGGGAGCTGTTCTGGTCGAAAGGAGACATCGTCGTGTGTAAATTAAAAGGCCAGGCAATAATTTTTGTGACAGAATTTTTTTTGTATGTTTCACATGAAAGACTCTATACCCTCAGAAAAACAAAAATTATCGCTATTTTAAAATACCATAAATTTTATGAAGGTTTTTTTTTAACGTCAAAGGATAATTATTAATACTGCTTAAACAATGTAAAAAGTTTCTTTTTATAATATTCAGAATTTTTTGTACAAAAACATATGAACAAAGATTCAAATATTTAAAAATTGTCATAGGAAGTGTAATTAATTTTCAAATATCCAAATTTCTTGTTTATGTTGTATTATCAATGTTATAAAAAACAAACCGTTAAATATTTGGTAAAGTCAAATTATGTATGTGGTACAATTTTCATTGGGAGAGTTGAGCCCATGGAATTTATTTGATAAATTTTCATATTATTTCTTTTGATAATAAAAGATATTTGTATTTGTTTATTTAAGTTATTTCTATTTATTTCCTTTCCTATTTTACCCCGAGAAGGAACAACTAAGAGATACTGGAACCACACGAGGAAAATATAAGTATAACCTACGCTGATTTATTTTTTTTTATAAAATGGCACCCTGAGATTCTTTTTTTTTATGTATGATTTGCGAACATTTAGATAATTAATTAAAGTAATTAAATAAATAAAAAGTAAGAAAAGCGATCATAGTAATATATATATAATATATAATATATATATTATATATATATATATATATATATTATATATATATATATATATATATATATATCTTTATATAGGCATACTATTTTTTAGGATATAATGATATCGAAATGAAGTAATTAAACATAAATACAAGATAATAATAATGAATAAAATAAAATTTTTAAGAAAACAATTATGATCTTTTAAATTTTAAAGAACTTAAGTGTGTAATGTTATTATAAAAAAATATTAACAATTCAGTAGTAAACAGACATACAATTTCATTAACCCACATAGCAATAACGCGCTATAAGAAGTATTCACTTATGTCGGCACTCCGCAAATGGCAGGCGCCGTTTTTTTGGTAACTAGCATATATTGTTTCTTTTTAAAAAATTTAAATTTTATAATTTAATTTATCTCAAGTTACCGCAGAAACTAAAACGTTTTATGTGTACAGCCAAAATTTGGTAAATAATTGAAAAACATCAAGTTTTGACACATTTTTTTGGAACCGTGTGTACCACTAAGTGAATAAAGCAAAGCTATAGAACATAAGTTATAACAAACATATCAATTACCTTGATAAATATCACAAATGTTGATTAAAACAAAATTGGGGTAATTGTTAATTGGGGAATAAAATGTTAATAAAAATAAACAATTCATGCATAATTCATTAATACGAACGTAAGAACTGCTAGAAGTGTTGTGTTCCTTCTAACTTTCTACATTCCTAGTAACGATTTCAGCTATTATTTGCCACTACTTACAGGAAGAGTACTTGCCACTCCCTGTAGCATGAAAAATTATAGTATGTATTAATATTCAACACATCTGATTTAGTAATAAAATAAATATCCAGAAATTAAAAATATTCCAGGTGGAGTTAAAAAAACCATTATCGAATAGTAAGATAAGCAAGTTATTTTTTATTAAAAAGATTTGTTGATAGTTAAAAAGCTTTGCGCTGCTATTGATACAACTTAATATATATTTTATCATACAATACTACTGTTATCTCATAAACATTCATAGATAGGGGATCAGTTACGACACAATTATCCGAGCAACGACGAGAATTTATCCCAATCAAATAAAATTTCAATACTCATGAACCATGAAACATCTCGTTTCAGGTTCGTTTTTTTTTCAGTCAAAGTTTTAATAAAAATGGTATTGTAAAAAAAAGTACATGTTTACAATAACTGAATTATTTGGATCATTGTACAGGGGGTCCCCAACTGTTATATTTTGCTGAGTATATGGACAACTAGTGAAGATAAAAAATGTAGTTTAAATTTCATGACTTCTTTTTTCGTTAAAAACATTTTCTTCAATTAGCGAGATACAGAGCGAATATTTTAAAATGTCGAAAACGACAGGGTTAGAGATGTTCTTGTTTAAGGAAAATTTTAAAAAACTTTATTGAATAAATATATTATATGGGATGGTTCAGTGGCGTACAATTTTTTTATGGAGCCTCACTAAGGAAATATAATACCAACTTATTTTTTTTATGGACACCTTATTTTGATATTTTTAATTCTCTTTCACCTGATATGGCATATTATATATCTAGTTTTAGTCGTGGGAGCTACTCTGCAAGTAAAATGTTTATAGTTGACGTCATGTAAGGCACTTACAAAAATCAGTGCCTACCTAACTTAAAAGTAAAGTTAAATTATTATTTTTAAATTATTGATTCCATATTTTATAAATAAAATTATCACGAAATAGACTGCATTTTTTAACACTGTATTTTATTACCTTCTTCGTTTCCATTTATATTTTTTTACCCGATATAATATTGTTTTCTAAAATGACATTTTTAAATTGTTTATTGTAAAAGAATGTCCATTTCATCAAGTAGACTTTGGCAAAGTTAGCGTGGAAAATAAAACAAAATCTGTCACCTCTGTTACCTGTCACAATTACAGTTGCGACGTAAAGTATTGTGTAAAAAAGTAAATACTGAAAATTATAAAAAACACGACACGCATTTGGCAACTATTGAATTCCAAAAGAATGTTATTGATGTATCTGAATTATATTTTCAACGATATCAAGAAAGACAAGTGCTGGAAGAATTGTAAGGAAACATAAATTTAGGCCTTACCGTACATCTGTCAGATAAAACTTATATCCAAGCAATTATATTTGAGAAGGATACACAATTGCAGAATGGTATATAGGAAAATGTAATGAAAATCCAAATTGTTGTTCAATTTTTATTCATATTTAGCGATTAAGCTCACATATTTAGTGCAGGAATATTTAACCCACACAATTGCAATAACTTAAATCCCCACTTAGTTCAGGGATGAGAAGCCAAGGAAGTTTCCGTTTTAATGTTAGTTGTTTTGTCAAGTATATTAAATTGGTTTATCATGTATTTGAGAATAACCTAATTGCTGTCGAATAAAGAAATAGAAGCGATTTGAAGATATTTTGATGAGCAATATTGGGCTGAGAGGAACGCATTTTGGTTCCAACAAGATATCTGCACATAATGCTGAATTCGTTGGAAATTACTTAAATGGAAAATTTCATAGGTGGCCCCCTCGTTCACCAGAACTAAATCCTCTTGATTTTTTTTATTTGTAGATTTTTAAAAAACAATACTTATAAAACTGACTTAAACACTAAGGAAGAATTATTACAAAGCATTCATCAAGCATTTATAAAAATAAAGACAGTCCATACACTTAATTGTGTAATATCTGTAAGAAAAACGTGTCGAATTATAATTACAACAAAATGGTGAGCGTTTCAAACATTTATATAATTTTCATGTAAAAATAATTCTAGTTGTTACATTGTTTATTATTGTTGTTTGTAGGTTTATTACACTGTTACTACTTCTAAATTTAACTTTTTATAAAAAGTCTAATTGTTAACTTGTATTTTGTTGTTAATATCAACAACATATAATAAAACATTTTTAAACACTTTTATTGTGTGTTTTGTCTGTGTGATGTCAAATAAATAATTTATTTGCACAGTAGCTCCAATTCCAAAAATTACAAAATATATAGGGAAAATTAATATAATATAAAAATACATAATTTGGTATTATATTTCCTTAGTGAGACCTATTTTTTTTGTATATAACTGAGCCCTTCCATAATATATCTATCTAAAGTTCCAATAAAGTTTTTTTTTAATTATTCTAAAGATCTACAAACCTGTTGTTTTCGATATTGTTTAATAACCGCCTGTATCTTGCTAATGTGAGGAGTTATTAATAATTTGATTGGGTAATTGTTACTTTAAGGAAAAGAAGTGTTGTGACATCTTAACTGCTTTTTTTCTATCTCCTCTAGTTTTCTGTATACCCTGCAAACATATTAATTTGGGACACTGACATTTTGTATAATAAATAAGTATTGGGGGACTATTTCATAGGTACATTTTTTATTTGTGAAAATTTAACAGGCAATAAATATTTAGAATTATTGCAAAATCAAATTATTCTGGCAGTTCAACTACTTGCTGTCAACTTTGATGTAATTTGGTTTCAGCAAGACAGCTGTCCTGCTCATAATACACCAGCAGTTCAAAATTATTTAGAAACCATTTTTGGAAAGAAATTAATTTCTTCTTGGTATATGATCAAGTGACCTCCCAGATCACCACACTTATCCCTAAATGATTTTCTTCTTTGGGGATATTTGAAAGCAAGAGCCCGAAATTTAGCGGAATTGAGGGAGAAAAATAATTCATCTTTGTGGGAGCATTAGACGGTAACTGCTCAGGTATATAAAAGTATCTGTGTACAACAGATTCGGTTTTTGCTCTGCAGAAAGATGTGGAATATTTGAACCTCTATTGAATTAAATTTTTGTTTTAATATTATTATTGTCATTTTTGGAATTCCTTTTTATTTTTAGAAATCTACTGTTTTTTCAAGTCATTTTGGAAATAAAACAACAATTTGATTGAAACAATAAATTGACATGTACTCTACCTATGTTCGGTTTTTACACTGGTGACTAGATTGACGATACAGTGATCGTTTGTGAAGGTGCGGAAGTAGGATATTGACTGAAGTCGAACAAAATGAGAGAATGAGAAAACATCCCTACATTGTATTGAAATTTACACTGGTTAATTGCAATTCAGAGAATCTCAGTTATTGTATTAAAAATTCTATGTTTGTTCAACAATTTACAAATCTATATATATAAATATATATATATATATATATATTAGATATATATAATATATATATATTATATATATATATATATATATATATATATATTCATATCAGATTCTCTATTTGATTTCACATTTCTACTGTTTACAAACCGTTTTTTAAAAATAACCTGCGAGTTGTGTGTTGTCAAAGTTAGGTTACAAAATGTTAGTGGCTCAAATATAGATGAAAAAACTGCATAATTTGGGAATATATGTAATTTATGTAACCTCAATACCATACTTTTATCCTAGTTTATCACTTTATCCTGCTGTTGTGATTAAATTATATTGGCATTATTTCAAAACAGAGTCTATAAACTTATTAGTTTTAAAATAACTTATATTGTTGAAAGTTTACACTTTAAACAATGAAAGGCGAACCTTGATATACCATTAGACCAAGCAGGCAACAGAGAAGAGAGTCAGCCAATAGTCGAGATTAGAAGAGCAGTAAACAAATAAACAATAAATAAAACAAAAAAATAGCAGTATTATTATACAATTAACCATTACATAAGAAAGGAGACCAGTTAGAATGTGTGGTGACCATTCTCTCTCCGGTTGCCGACAAGAATGTAGAGCATTAGAATAATTTTAATAATTTTAAACTGTTTGTCCTTGTTTTAATGTAGTGTTATGTATAATTTATGTCCACTCTCATGTGTATTACATTCAACACTTGCTGGATAGCCCAAATTTAACGAAATGCCCCTGATGATGCTTTAGATAGCGAAAGTACTTGGGCATGCTTTGATTAAGATTGTGCTCGATATTTGCCTTAATTTTTCAAAGTTCACTTATTTATTTAAAAAAATTTATAGAAACTGACTTCATTTGCAGCAAAATTTAAAGTTACATATGAAACCTGAACTCTTAAGCTTTAAAACACATTTTGATTTTTGTTGAGAGGACACTGATCAAAAGATATTGAATTTTTACCTTAAAATTGATAAAACATTGTATTAAAAAAAAAAATGATTTCATGTGCGTAACTGACATTCAAAATCGCAGTTGATTTAAGTGTTTTTTCTGAGAGAACAGAATTCCACAGAAAAAATTCTAATAAACATTTTTGTTCAAAATTATCTCAGCTACATTTCTTATTTGAAACATTTTTTTTTACAGTATATACAGGGTGATTGATTAGGTGAGGAAGCTCAGTAGATCTGTTATAGTAAAAATTACAAAAAAAAGTTATTGACAAAAATTGTAGGCAGCTTTCAAACTCCATCAGTTTAAAATTAGTTACAATCTTACAGGGTGTTCCATAAGATGGGCAGACCAACTTATGTTTTTTTTATAATGGAACACCATGTAATTTTATTTAAATTTTAAATCTGCTTCACTTCCACATCACAATGACAAGTTTTTATTACGTTAATACCGGGTATTTAAAAAGTTATAACCAATATTACTTGAAAATATCTGTATCAAGTTTAACTCCCTCTATAATTAACAAGGAGTATAGGAACATTGATCTATTGCAACCATAGTTTTTTAATAATTGTTAAAAAGAATAAAACATATCCTTTTTTATAATATTCGTTATATCAAATACAGGGTAAGTCAAAATGCAAGTACATCATTATCTTGGTATATTTTCAATAGAACACCCTGTATTTTATAATACTATTGAAAAGTACTAATATCATACTTCAAATTTTATAAAAGTACTCCTTATACCTAAAGTTATTAGTTTACCAATAATCAATTGTGAATTGGCTATGATTGATTTGTCAGAAACTGACAGTTTGACATATTGTTTACTAATTAAGTATTGTTTGTACACTGTAAATTAGCAACAATTATTATTTAGTAACTTCAGTAATTAAATTCAATTTAAATTAGCAATAATGAATTTTACTACTGATGTAACGGTGGATATGATCTGGATATTGAGGGGAGTGCAATAAAAATTCATTACTTCAGCTAGAATTTATCAAGAAAGGTTTCCAGGTAGGCGGCAACCCTAGACAAGATACATTTAAAAAAATTGAAAGATCGATTTAACCGCACAGGTTCAGTGAATTATGAAAAAAAAAATGAACGAACAAAAACTAGTATGACAGAGGAAAACGAAATGAGTGTGTTAATGGCAGTTACAGAAAGCCCACACACAAGTATACGGAGTATTTCCAATGAACAAGAACTTAGTTACTACTCTGTTAAAAACATTCTGTCTAAAAACAAGATGCACCCTTATAATATTCAAAAGCAGCAAGAATTAAATAATGATGATTTTCAGAAATGAATAGTATTTTATGAATGGGCCTTAGAAAAAATTAATGAGCAAAGAGATTTTTTTGATTATGTCATTTTAATGGAAAAATAAAAATATATAGGAAACTGATAACTTTAGGTATAGGGTGTATTTGTACTTGGTGTACTGAGGAGTTTAAAGCTGCCTACAATTTTTGTCAATAACTTTTTTTTGTAATTTTTACTATAACAGATCTACTGAGCTTCCTCACACTAATCAATCACCCTGTAGATTGTTGATAAATTGATGTTTTCCATTCCTCCTGCAGGGGGTTAGGGGGAAGTCCAGGAGTAGGAATAGCAAATTTTGGTTGAGTTTAGCAAAAGTACAAGCTGATTATAGCAGCAAATATCAAACATGGAACAAAAAATCTTGGTATAGCAGTGTTGGCATGTTTTTATAATGTAGAAGCTGTATGCTTCAAATATAAAAAGATAAAGGCTTTAGAAAAGTAATTATTAGAAATTTTTTTAGCAGTTACCCTTTGATAGATTAAGGGATAGATTTGGCAATTGTCAAATCAGCAGTTGCTAGATGTTTGCAAATAATCTCGAAAGAGACAAATATTTACCCATTATTGCTTCATATAAATTAAAACTTGTAGAATTCATAAACTAGATTGATCAAAATGTACTTTTCAAAAGCTTTATCTCTTTATATTTGAAGCATACACCATATGCATTATAAAAACATGCCAACATTGCCAAACCGAAATATTTTTGACATTTGCGGCTATATTCAGCTTCTACTTTCGGAAAACTGAAACTCAAACTCAACCCAAATTTTTTGCATCTTTTTGGGGTTCCAAAATTGATATTCCCAACAAGCTTGTTTCATATTATTTTTAGAAGTCCAGTGGTATTTTTGTCTCTGACTACTACTAGAATTACTAGAAATTTCATTTGTGCATGTTTTGGTTTATTAAAAAAAGTGTAAACATTAATATTAAAAGTATATGTGTTTACTCAATAATTCTCCTACAAACTGCCTTTTATTATTTTTTATAACATTTAACATATAAGGATAATTTACTAATGGTAACACATACAAGGTATTTATTTTCTAATATGGGATCTTACCAGGTGAATTTATGGAGTATAGGAAATATAGTTTTTTATTTCCAGTTGTCTCATTTAAGCAATATTTTTTGAAATAATGGAAAAAATGAGTAACAGAAGTAGCATAACAGCTTTGTAAAGTGCTATTAGAAATATACAGAATAGTTTAAGTACAGCATCTAACCAAAATTTAGATCTAGACAAAGTATTGATGATAAATACTTCGAGTGTATCAGCAGAACATGAGACACATTTAAAAAGCACGGGCTTTAAGTTTATTGATGTATGTGTAAGATGTAGTAGAAGTATTGATGATGAAGGTGTAAGATATAAATATGAGTGAACATAAATTATCTTATCTTTTATATTTTTCACCTAGGATATCTGTATAAAGAACCAATAAATATGGAAACCACTAACAAAAATAATATTTTTAAAACTGCCTATAAAACGTCAAAGATAAAATTTCTTAAATATAAAATTAATTTTCTAGGAATGTAGTATAATTTCAAGATGCTAAAATATATATAATTAATCACAATTTTTCTACAGGGATATGTCATAATAAAGCATTGTGTATATTAATATTCATGTTGAGATTTCATCTAGTTTTTGAGTCACTCACTATGAATTAATAAAATAATTTGACATTTGTCTTATCTGACCACAGGAAATATGTTAAATTTAGTAACAAACTGTAAACACGACTCTAGTTTCCTACTGAAGCAGGATACTAAAAGCTGGTTATAGTGTTTAAAACTCCCTCAAACATTGTTTTAAAATGTCACTCTTAAAAAATAAAAGGGATGGTGCATATTTAAATGTTGTGAGGGAGGATTAGACTAAAAAACAGATTACAAAGGAAATTAGAAAAACGGTAAACTGAACATTCTAATAACATTAAACATGTAAAACTTACATCTACATGTAAACCCTAAAAAATAAATGTCATGTAAATATCTCTGTATCTTTTTTTAACCACCCATATATAAAAACGCTTACCTTAACTTCAATATCACCTATTTTGTTGACTGCTCTAATTATAGGCCTTCCTACCATTGAAGGGAATATATAAGCAGGAAAATTACTGCCGGCATACCCACACTTAACGAACTGAAAAATGGGGCTCTAGAATAGTGAAATTAAAATGGTGACGGATACTTACCCCAGTACCATTATCACATACGATTACTTTTCTACCTTCACTATCCATTTTAATTAATACTAAGAAAAAACAACTACCTACTTATTTATTTCTATTATCAACATTAAAATTAGTCAACACCACACCTCTCTCCACGAAACATGACAAAAGCACACAAAAGTCAAAGTCAATCAGTCAAAGTCAGTTATCGAAAACTGTCACAACCAAAACTGTTCTACAAAGAAGAAGAAAAATCATTTTATACCTACTTTGATACAAATCTACAAACTATGTAATATAACAATCTTTATGTTTAAAAATTTGTTTTTTTTAGTATTTTAACTGACATTAATACACTTCACTTTTCGATTACTATATGTGTAAAACTTTTATTTTCGTAATATTAAAACTTATACAGTAAATAACATTCACCACAAAAAAAACTTTATTATCGTTATCAACATTTAAAAAGAAGAATTTTTGACATATTTACAGTGAAATGTCAGGTATAAATGCCAATAAAAAGAAAATATTATTTGCTGTAATTAGGAAGTTTAAATTTTAATTCTATAGGAAGTGTTTTAAATAACACCAGGGAGGACTGGTTTTATATTAAAGTATGGTATAACCTTTACATTTATTAAATTATTACAGTTGAAAATATTTGTTTTGTAGATGTCATGAATTTTCCAACACAAGAATTTATGTTTGGAAGGCAAAGGGTCCGTCAATGGGTATCGCTTATTACACAACAGGTAATTAATTAGTTTCTAAAATTTGTAATGTATTTAAATCTAAAATGTACTTCTGTACTGTACCCGTACTTCTTATTTATTAATTTACTTCTTGAAAAAAAGTAATGTGATCCTGCAGACAGTGGGAGTAAATTTAAGATTCCTGCATATGATTTTAATGTTTTAGTACCGCTTAAGGCATGTGTACCAAATAATGGGTTTAAACTTAGGAACAGATGATACTGGTAGCTTCTACTATACTCTTCATCTTACAACAATGAGTGCTCCGTTCTATACAAGTGAAGAAATGAATAATCCAAATCCTAAATGGTCTGAGCTAAATTTAAAAGAAATGTCAAATCTCTCTGCCTCATGTGTAGTGTTAAGAATATGGCAACATTCCAATGATGGAGCTGATAAGATATTGGTAACATGGGGTGTCAATTTTTCAGGCCTTTGTTATATTGGAAATAAGATTTCTGATATTCAACCATACTTCTTTAAGAATAATTCTGTGATATTTTATATGCAAGGGGGTTTCTACACTAGTCATGAAGTCATTAGAACTGACCTGCATAAACCTGTACCATTTGTTAATAATCTCTTAGAAACTACTGGAAGTAAAGTTATGTATAAAAGATTAGCTGTTAAGTCATATAGTCATGAAATCCAACAAAGTTATAATATAGACAAATTAAGGCAATTGCAGCAATTGCAAATGCAAATAAGAAATAGACAGACAGATGTACAGTATATTAAAGACAAAATAAATATGGTAAATGGATATAATGCCAGTTTGGAAAAGGATGTGTCTCCAAGTTCTGGATCTATAGGAAACATTAGATATGCTCCACAACTTCTTACTATGAATTCTTTAAACAAATTACTATATGTAAGTACATATCAACATTTTTATTTTACCTATAATTTTTATCAGTTTTATCCTACTTGTATTTGTGACTTTTTATTACTAAGTATTTTACTTTTAAATGAAAGTAAAATATCTTTTTTTATTTACTTTCAAGGCACATCACAAATTAAAATAATTAAGGGATAGAATAATTAATGTTTCATTAATATTAACTTTATAAAAGAATGTATGATTTTGTTGTAATGAGCATTAATATATGTGCCTTTATCAATACAAGAAACACTTCTTTAGAAGTTTCTATTTTGGATCCAAACTGATATTTACCCTCTCTAGATAGATAGTGTTGTCTAAGTTTCTCCAACCATGTTTTCTTTCACCTCAGTGATTCTTTGTATTCCAATATTTATCCATTAGCTGCCTTATAATGAAAATTTCATATGTTGCTGATCTACTTTGTATAAATCTAAATATATTTTAGTTTTTCACATATCCATCTGCCAATTACTCTTTTCATAAGATACAGCTTCTCATTTTGTTTATCATTTTCTCTCATAATTGAGGGGTATAAAATCAAAGTTGGCAATCTCCTATTTCCACAATTTTGGGAAAACCGCGAAAAACTGTAGAATCCAACAAAATTAAATTAGAACAATAAACCTGATGATGGATCATATAAAATTTGGTTTGTGTTCAGATGTACAGAAAGAGGTGCTTAAGAAATTATTTCGTTTCATTTTTTTTTTAATATTTAGTTTGGAGATTGCCGTTTTTGTTTGCAATGTTTGGAGATTGACAGATATGAAAATGATCTATAAGGATATTGCCAGTTTTTAAACTAATAAAACATCATTGTACCAGTTACTTAGTTAAAAAAAATATATTTTGATATAGAACAATAATATAATATGTAAAAGCAATTTATGTGCATATAACTACTTAAACTAAAATATCTGGAAGTTCAGGTATATATTCACAGGTTTCGACAGACTCTAACTCTGGAACAGGATTCTCCAGGTTCTCGTTTGCTTCTTGTTCATAACATTGAAAAAGCTTTTTATGATAGTTAAGCTGATCGAGTTGGGTCCAGTCTAAACCAAAATGTTTGGTCAAAAGATTTCACACATCACTCAGTTTTAAATTATTTACTTTGTGAGCATCGGGGATAAGTTTTTCTGGATTTATCATGTTAATCTGTTTGCCTTTACGTGTAATACTGACACTGAAATCATTTTTGTGGTGCTGTTCACCTCATATTAAAACATTTCCTGTCCTACATCGTTTTAAAATGTACCGTTTACATTCCTTAAACTGAAAACCCAAGTTCCTACTGGTTTAAGAACTTCCTGAACAGCAGACTTCCCATTGTAAACACAACTTTGCTTCATATTAACGATCGTAGAAAAATCGGATATAATTTCCTTGTATTCGCCAGGTGTCGTTATTACTTCTGTTTTTCGTAAATTCTTCTCAATTTGACCAAAAACTCTATCAGATGGTAAAAATGAATGGCCAACTACAGGAAAAACTAACCCAAGTAATTTAACATTTTGTGGCGCGCTCTCGGCTAGCTATTTGCAGCACATACTAATCATTAACGAGTTCTTATTTTGGCCATGCATTCATTTTACTTTAAAAGTGGAGACTTTGAAGAACCTTCCAACAAACAGTAAAGTTTAAAGAAAACTGCCTCATCAGTCAAACGATAAAGTGACTAGGTCCTCACTATTTTCTTGAACAAATTGGAAAAATGCTTTCGCTCGAAATTTGTGAAAGCGTTTTTCAGTCATGAGTTTAATTTTAGATTGCCTCATTTTTCTCGTATTTATGTGTTCACAGCTCTAATATTTTGAAACAACGTCTGTTCTTGGAGATTTAAAGCTCAAATTGTATTTTCTGTTAAATACATAGCGAAAATACAATCTCTTCACAGTCTCCGATGGAATTGTCTGAGCAGTGTACATTGAATACAAATTAGAGACGCTGAGTTCAGATGGAAGATACATTATTTTCGTCACTGAACGGCAGTAATGGGATTCAGTACATATTAATTGGTTAATAAACCTTTGCACTCCTTCCAGCTTGTCCCGATATTTCACAGTTTTTCAATTACCACCTCTGCATTCAATTGGTACTTGGCCTGTTTCAGTAAATCGTTATATCACATAGGAAAGCCTATGTTTTGTTATCCCCTAGTACATTCAAAAAAGCTGCTTGGCACACTGGAACTTTTTCCTTGGATAAAAAATTATGGATGAAACATTTTACCTGGTGCTTCTTTGGAGAATGCATTTCATTTTTCGGCCAACGACGGGCAGTACGATTCACAGTGCAGTATTTCAAAATAAGGGCATCTTGAGTCGCTTTATCTTTGGTCTCATGGAATAGGCTACGAAATTTCTGTATATCGTTCATTTTCAGCAAGCAGCACTGATATATTTTTGAATTGTGCCCACATGTTGGGTATTCTGGCATATTCTTCGCAGAATATCTATAACAAAAAATAGTTATGAACATAGGTACCGAATTAGGTTCAAATCTTAACAAATTTTTAAGGAAAATGATAAACAAAACATTAAAATTCAACAACGGCTTGGAAATGGAATCATAACATTCACAAAAGTACTCATCTTACACGTTTTGCAACGTTTTTCTTCCATTTTTCAGGTTGTCTTATTCACTTCCTTGCCTTTGTTGGTGTGACAGGAGATGCATTAACTTCCATGATAAAAAATTAATACTTTTTTTGTATGTAAAACTAATTTCTTAGATACCAATATAGTTTAGCACAAGTTTAGGAAAAGCACAAAAACAATGTAACGACTCTCAAAAATAAAACAAACTAAATAACACCACGATATTACGACAAACTAACCATGTGTTGATCACATGCATGCTCTATGTGGTTCTTATTGGCTGAAGCAGAGATTGCCGTGTTTGGTACACACTCAGCTATGGAGATTGCCACTTTTGATCCCAATACCAATTTTTCATTGCGATTTGTGTAAGGATAAGACCTCTTTTGGTTCTTACAAATAGTTTTATCTAACAGATAATAAAAAAACGCAACAGATGGCGTCCCTAACTCAAAATAAGAAAAAGTGGAGATTGCCGCCTTTGATATTCTACACCTAATTATACTAAACAAACATGTTAGTTAAATTGTTTCTGCTAATTCTATTCTCACTTTTCCAGGTATAAACTGGTCCAACTGGTATATCTTTATTTTTTTTCGTACTTCTGCCTTTTTTTTCATTTTGGTCCATATTTGGCTCTACCTTTGGCTATTGTGATATATCTTACTTTAACCATCTTTAGTGTCACATTCATCATATAGAAGATGAACTGCTGTTTTAGATCTTGCTACAGCATTGCCACTTCTTTGTGAAACATCCTCTCTAGATTCAGCACTATATTTAATTTTTGTATATATATAATATATATATATATATATGTAATATATATATATATAATATAATATATATATATATATATATATATATATATATATATATATATATATATATATAATATATGTATATAGGCCCTGAGGAAATATATATATATATATATATATATATTATATACTATATATATATATATTAAGTATATAAGTTTAATAGGATTTTGTCAATTTTTAGGAGTGAATCAGAACAATAACTTTTGAGAATTAACTTAACCACCACCCTATTACGTTAGTTAGACCAACAAACAAAAACTAATGCAAGCACTGAGGTCTTGCCAGCAAATGAATTGAAATTGAAATTAAAAAGCTGTGCTTGCTCACTATCAAACATCCAAGATTATTGTGAAATCGAATTTTTAATGACACAATGTCTATAATAGTGGAAGTTTATCTGTACTATATTTTGTAATGTAATAAGTTTTATTTGTGCACAAAAATTGAATTTATTTTTCTTTATGTTTTAGGAAAAACCAACATATGTTCAGAAACAAGAAATGGCCAAAAATACTAAAGAAATAGAAAAAATAAAATTTAAGACTAAATTGCTTTCCCAGGAGAAGGCCAAAAAAACTGTGATAATTAGGACCCTAAAACAAAATTATGCAGCTATTCTAGAAAAAAATGAAGAGAGAAGTAAGCATTATATGACATTTTATTATTCTTATTTCAATACTAAATTTAATATATTGAACATAATGTTGTTTCTACAAAAAAGACTTTACCTATCTTGGCAGTATGAATGGCATAATTTTGTTGCGTTCATTGTAGCAAAATGTGTGGAGAGTCGTACTATGTTTTCTGTATTTTTAAAATTTAAATAATATATTTAAAATTAAATAAAATTATTTTATTATTTACTCATTTTTTATATTTTAAATAAATTATTATATTTGCTCCTAACGCCACATGTGAACGTATTAACAAAGCAAACATTGTTTACTTATGATTATGACAAAATTGTTAAATTGAGACCAAATATTAATAATAAAATATAAATAAAATATCATTTGATAGTAAATTTAATTATTGTATTTATACGAAATTATTTAAAAACAAGAATATTTATAAAAGTTTAATCAGATGGTTCAATGTTGTTACTAATCGGATGACATTTATTTTATGACTTGTATTAAAATTCGAATTTAATATTTTAGTGACAATTATTCTTTTAATGTGTATATCTTGTTAGTTATTTTTCATGCAGTCTTTAATTTAAACCTGCTTAGAGCAAACATATGATGACTAGAAACGAGTTGATCGAGAGTTAGTGGATCAATGTCAAGAGTCGCTATTCTATAACGCTACCTGATGTGCTAGTTCCATGACACTCGCCTCAGTATTTTACTGTAGAGAAAAAAAAGTAATACAACGCCAGTATAGAAGCTTCGCTTCAAAAACAAATTGAATGCTGAAAAGTTTTCTCTTCAAGAATGGAAGTCGATTTGTATAGATTGCCAAAGCAGATATAGAGATTTATTAGAACTGAGAAAAGAAAAAACTGAATAGGAACAATCAAACGGGGCATTAACCGTTCACTGAATCGTTTAAGGCCAGCAAAGATCGAATGTTACCTGAAACTTCAAAAATAATTATTGAAAAAGTTACCATTAAAAGAGATCAACAAAGTATTATAGGGAAACTGAAAAACCGAAAGTCCCGAGGTCTGGACAAATGAAATTTCCAAATGAGCTGTCAAAGTATGGTAGAATCATACATACTAAATCGACTAAGAATCGCCATACAAAATTTCTTATATGACACAATACCTAACAGTTGGCGAAATAGCTCTATGATTCTAATGTTTCAAAAAATGGTGCGTGGTACTTGGGAAGTGCCGAAAGAAGTGAATGCTTCTTATAGCGCAGTATTATTATGTGAATGTGAATTTTGTTCAATGATTTTAGGAATTTAAAAAATTTCTTAAATATATTATAGACTTTATTCATCATTTATATTTTCATGATTATCTTTTAGTTATGTTTAATTACTTCATTTTAATTATCATTATATTTCATTGTAATTTATTTAACAAAACAAAAAACGGGATGTGGCACTCTGTGAGGGACTGAACAGAGGAACATAGCTTTCTTATCGTCTACGCACGGAGCGAGGGTTTTTAATTTTATTTTATTTTTGGTTCAATTCGATTGTATTTTATTCTATTTTAATTTATTTTATTTTATACAAATATTGATAAATGCCAATTTGATGCCAAATTGATCCAGTCCTTCTCGAGTTGTTATAAAAAATATATAAAAACATATTATATAAAAATTATAATAAGTGTATTAGAGTATATTACTGTCTAACGCATGGTTACTACACGGATCTCTATTTTTCGTTTACCTTACCTATTTTTTATAGGTCTTTTCTTATACGACAATGTCCAGTCGCTATTTTGGTGACTGGACATTTCTCCAGTCTTGATTATTTTTTTAGTCTGGATTTACCCCTGAGTGGCCTTGTTCTGTCAGCAAATGTGCTTGTTCATTCCCATGCACCTCTTTATTACCTGGCACACATATTAATGACACTTTATTGTCTTTTGCCAGGTTGTTGAGGAGGTCTTTGCAATTCCTCATTAGTTTTGATTTGGCGAGTGGGTTATTCACAGCCAGAATAGCAGCTTGGCTATCTGTAGAAAATTTGATTATGTTTTGCTTTGGGGTCTCCATTCACGATTTCATCAATGCAGCCCACCAAATCATAAACTTCAGCCTGGAACACAGTTGTACACAGCTTTGTTATAATTATAATTTGTTCAGTTTTTAGATTCATCAGTGAATCATATAAGTCTGGAATATATGAGACTTTTTGTTCTCTGGATGGTATAGTTATGTTAATCTTCCCAATGAAAATTAGTCCTGTCATAATATCTGAGTTCATCTGAAAGATGGTGTTGTGAATTGTCTAAGTGGCTAAGTATGTGGACTTGGATTGAATAATCCTTTGTCGAAATAATTTTTTAAGTCAACATGGTAATAATAAATGCTCGATGAATTCAAAGGCACTTTATTTTTCGTTGCACTGTTACAAAAAATATTTATTACAAACTATTTAACTAAAACTCAACTTCTTATTTTTCTGCTTTGCACGAATGAAATTTACATGGAGCGCGTGTATTCGCGAAGTTAATTGACATTATCCTTTTAGTTAGCAAGAGAAGTGCTCGAGATACTATGCGGTTACACAATTACTGAGAGGCCAGGATGTGCTCTCTGACACGGGAAACCGAGAACTGAGTCTTTAAATGCCGCTCCAATCTATTGATTTATAGGAAAAGCAAAGAACCGTCAATTCCACCGGTTGTAACGTCTTTTAACAAATATAAGGAATTTTAACGTATTTTAATACAGTTGGTTATTTCTTTCAGCAATAAACTGTTTTGCCATATATTTAGTGATAAAATTCATAAAAAAATAATAAAGCTAAAAGATTAATTGTCTTTTTACGAGTTCCAAAAAGCAGTAAATCTTACTGACCCACTTCTTGATAAATATTGCTCCATCCTCTTTCTCGTGAGATTTATATGCACTTGTTTCCACATTTGGCGAGAAGCTCACCGGAGGCTCTGTAGTCACCAAGGGGCCACCGGCAATACAGAATACTTTAGGCAGTTCGAATTTTCTTAGATGAATAGTATTTTGTCTTACATGTACAATTTATTTAGCATTTTGAGCACGGTGGATGCCTTAGATCTCACAGAGATGCCGGTCCTTCACGCTTCAACGTGTGGTCAAGTACACACTCCACGAGGTGTATAGGAACATCGGCGGAGTGTTGACTGTTCGCTGGCTCTCACACCGTACCGACACCTCTCGTGAAAATAACCTTAATTCCAGTAGGGACTTAATTATCTGCGTCGAAAGGTTTTAGCGACGAAGTGTTATCTCAGCTCGGCCACAGAGTGAGGAGTAATTCTAAATCCAATTGGGGCTTTTATTTACTCATAACCGTCGGTGGTTTAGTGGAACGCTGTGCCAGTTCGACACGATCTGAAATAGCTATAAGACACCTGTCTTTCCCTATTTCGAAAATCAGTGTCTATCTGGACAGGAAGAGTTCTTTCCGAGCTGTTAGCTGGTTTTGCGTGAGGTGATTATAAGTTCGTTGCCGGACTTTTCTTCACCTCGACGAAAGATGGACCAACAGTTCACAACACCGGTTCCTATACCTTTTGTTGGTTGAACAATGTCGTAGTCAACAAGGCTTCATGTTTATTCACACGTAAAAGGCGTTCGGACTCGTCTTCAAGCGGAGTCTTCTTATTGATTACTTAAGTTAATAATAAACGCAGAAATAGTTGAAAAGGCACGTGGCTAACAAGGTCTAGCTGGGGTCAAGATGTAATGCGCTGTCTTTTTATGCATTTTCTGTTTGCAACTCCTCAGCGATCTTCCGTCGGAAGGTCAATAACAATGCAGTTAATAAAACCGTTTGTTATTGGCCGGCCAGAGTGACAATCTTTGCTCTGATTGGCCGCTCTGGCGACAATAACTTCTAAAGATGTTGTTCCAGTACTATTCAAGGCTCCTGTTATGTTTAGAAGCACTTGTCTTTTTAGAGTGGTGAGAGAGGTCACACAAGATTGCAAAGCCGCCTGTTTCCACCAAAGGACTGAACCATATGTAACTCTAGATCATATCACTGATGTGTATAAACAACACATTACCTTTGGTTTCAGCCCCAGGTTTTATCTACAACTCTTCTGCAGTTCCAGCCCCTGTCGCGTAGCCCTGTTAGTTATGTTGTTAATATGAGTTAAACATGTTGTTTTTTTTTAAACGATTTCCTGAGTGGAAATCAAAACGTCAAGATTGTTAGGTAAAATGTAATTGTCATTACAATCAATTGTAGCTTATTCCCATATAAACATAGAATTTAAGTTAATATGGATGTTTCAATTTAGTTTGGAATCAAGGGTTACCTCTAGATACTTGATTTCATTGGTTCTTTCTAGTTTCCTCTCCAAATGATTTCAGCTCACAGTCCAGTTAGCTTCCTCTTATTAGTAAAGGCTACTAGTTTAGTTTTAGAAGGATTCACAGAGAGGTTCTCTTTCAGACACCAATTCTCTATGTAATGAAGGGCATATCTCTCGTACTTGAATCTCTTCGAAAAAAAAAAGACTAAAGATATCATCTCTAATATTAACCTACGTGAACGGGACGAATACTTGGAAAAACTACTCCAAGCAATACACCTTCTGTATGTTGGATACTTCCTGTATGAAGATAGGTAGGTATCTTCGAAAAGCATACCACAGTGTACTACAACAGAAACTATGGGAAGCCTTAGAAAAAACAAACATCAATGCAACTTTAATAAGGTATTGCAAGAACTCTATAAAAACTTAAATAAAGATAGGTCAAGATATATCCATAAGTGAGAGCGTCCAAAAGTGGCGTGGCAGTGGCAAGTAAGCAAGTAGCACGCGTCTAGCATAATGTAACCATCCAAACGAATGATTAGAATGAATGACGTTCTGTCTTTGGTGTAAACTGAATCATTCGTTTCATTGGTACATTATGTAGCGCGTGCACTTGCTAATTGCCACTGCCACGCACTTTGGTGGGCGCTCTCACTAAGTTTTGTGGTAGACAAACAAGGATGTTATCTGTCCCCGACTTTGTTTAAGATCTTCTTCTATAAACGACACCACAGTGTACACAATATGCTTTGCTGATGACCAAATAGTCTTGGCTCAGGTCTACGAAGATACATATATCTCTAGTGTTGGGGAAAAAGGGATAAGTCGAAATCTGTTGTTTTTCAGGAGAATTTATTAAAGGTTTTATTCTTGTCGCATAAATCCATTTTTAAATTAAACTTACATTTATAGTAATATTATAATACGATATAATTAAGCAAACCTATAGACAATAATAAAATAGGTTATATCTTTTCAAATTGATGATTTTGATTGACTTGTGGATCTGACTTTGATTGCGATTGCTGACTTAAGCCTATATAAACTAACATGCTAGCCATTATAGTAATAATGACAAGACTGTTATTATGGTTGAATAATGATAAGTATGTCAATACTTTGGTGTTTGAATAACATCTACAAACACAGGTAAATACAGAAACTTAAAATAATGGATTCAGTTTTATTTGCTGAAAAAAACAAGTACAAGTAAAATACATCACTGCAAATGTTTATTACATATGTACCTCTTCTAAGTCTGGGCAGTTCGGCGTCTAGATCTATGTCTTCTAAATCTGATGATCTCTAGTAATTCCAAGAGATCATCTTTTTGGCCTTGGAGATTGCAAGTGGTTCTGTATATTTTTTTGATATATAGAGTGCAATCGGACGGCCACGGCGATTTAAATTCAAAATGCAGAAGTCTTCTGTTTCTTGAAGGGATTTTTTATAATAAATCAGTCCCCGTTCCTTTGTGTATTTGAGCCATTTGTAGTCGTGCCATATAAATTTTCGTTTTTTACTATCTTGTTTTCTTTTTACAAAGATACTTTTCAACAAGGCTGAAAAGTCATAAAAATCATCTTGTGACATTTCAAGCATTTTCAAGGTTTCTTTTTATTTGCGCATCGTATAAATGTCGCCAATCATCTGGATGTGATATTTTTATGCCACTTTTTTTTGTTTTTCGATTACGAAATGATCCGCTTCACATTTCATATGAGAGTGGTCTGACACACAAGAAATTTGTGATCAATTTACTCTAACGTTGTTTTCATTTGAAGAACAGTTAAGAACATACTTGCTACGTAGAAATTCTTATTTTGTCCACCGCAAGTATCCGAGTATAAAATCATTTTCTTCACTTCGGGTGGCAAATTCATAATCTCCTTAAAAAGACATAAAGCAATTTCGTTTGCTCCTCTCGTTTCCATCGACTCGTGCCATAGATACCATGAAGCAAAACCATTTCCCAATTGTGTATTGTAAGATCATAGGTCCAATATTTTCTTTTGTAAAATGAAAGGTGCTCCTTAATCATCTTCATAATTCTTTTACATCTTTCTGACATTTTTACGTTCGCAAAAACACAAGTAAATACAATTTTTTATCACTGATAAGCAAGACGTGTTTGTTATTGTAACGGGTCATAAGGAATTAAGTCAGTCCTTGGCAAGTGTAAATATACTGTTGTAAGCTTGCCGTGGTAAAAAAGACTTTGGTCATTATAAGTCCGTTTGTCCAAACAGAACCGGTTTTACACGACTTGCGTCTATTAGATCAATAGATGATAAAGCTGTTAGAAACACAATAGACGTATGTCCTTTGGATCACAACTAAATTTATTCAATTCCATGTCGCCAGCATACTTAAGTCAATATAGTTAACATTTGACTTATGTCCTTTTTCCCCAACGTTAGAGATATAATATATGACGCGCGATTCCTATGACGTGTATAGAAGGAGAACAAAAAAATCTAATTTTGGAACAGCAACACCAACAAATAAATCACTGTAAAATGAATAAATATCTAAGCGTACGCATAACCAATGACGGCAATTTGGATGAAACGATTAAACACAGAAATAACCAGGGAAGACAAGTCATTCAGCAATTGAACAGCATACTTGGGATAAAACAATTTCGAGAGAAAATAAGCAGAATCTATAGTAGCATTGTCAGAAGCGTTGTTATATATGGAAGCGCAATATGGCCACTGAAGGAGAAAGTTATAAAGACTTTGGAAGCAACAGATATGGATCTTTGGAGGAGAGAAACGAGATATTTCAAGAAATCATGGGCGTTAAACATAGAATAATAGAGGACATCAGAATCAACCAATTAAGGTGGTACGGGCAAGTACAAACAATGGATGACAACAGAATTCTAAAAAAAAGTATTTAGCTGAACACCGCAGGGAAGATGAAAGAAGGTAGACCGAATTAAGTCGACAGGATATAAAAGCCAGAACAATAGAAAGTACCTTCTGAATAATGTAAACTGTTTTCCAGAAAACGGAGAAGAAAGTTGCAAACTGATTGTATATATATATATATATATATATATATATATAATATATATATATATATATATAATATATTTACATTAAATTCAGTAGATAACAGTAAATATCCCTTAGTTGGCCACAGGGTTATGACACTTTCATACAGATCTGTAGATATTATTCTGCTCTAAAGCATCTGAATGATCCACTTGCATGTTGTGTTATTGATTTTCTTCCTCATTAGTACACTATGTATTCAAGTACATATTACCCCATGTACTGTTTTATGTAATCGTTATTATATTTGTGTCAATGGTCTCTGTAATCGGGACACAATAATTCAATAAAAAAATTGGTAATAGTTTCTCGAGGCTGTATAAATTTCCAAAACCTGTCACACCTAAAAGCCTTATGAGAAAAATTTATTTCTCTTAAGTAGAAAACTGGAAAGTTGTTCTCGTATCTTACCTGTGTGGTTAACGCTGAATGTAGATTCAACCAATCCAAACCCTACAATGTATTTGGCAACGTGGTTGGCACATACACTACGCTGTGCTAATGAGTAAATAAGGTATATCCTTTTTATGATTAAAAAAGATCATTGGCGTACATCGTTATTTCAGTAGTAGAACCACACTTTGTGAATACGTTAAGTAGCACGACACTTTGTGAATACGTTAGGAAAGCAGTTTATACTTGATATTTTTCTATATAACATGTGGCATTAATATTTATTGTTATTGTAGATATACCCATAGTATATTTTAAAGTTTTTTTGAAAATGGTTTTTATTCCAGGGTTTTACATACTCGCATTTATCAATAAAGCAATGTAACTATTTTGTAGATTCAGATTTGATGGAAAATTACCACAAGTTAAGCAGAGGCTCTGAAAAACTCAAAGAATATAAAAAGAACATCCTACACCACAAAGAAATTTACTCCAATATACATTCCCAACTCCAGCAAAGAAGGAGACAGTTATTAAGGGAACTGCTTTTTATTTTTCCCATTGAAAACATCTGTGATGATAAATATACAATTATAGGAATACACCTGCCAAATTCAGATGTATTAGCAGGTAAACGGAACAAATTATCATTTCTGAAATGTCTGGGAATATTTTATAAAATATTTAAAAACATAATTATTTTGGAAAAAATATGAATTTCTTAATATTATTTCTTTTTATTTTTACTTACCTTCTACTATTAAACATAATTTATTGTAAAGATTATTTTTATCCATTCTTCATCTTTTTATATATTTAAAAATGAGATAGGAATGGGGTACGATGATGTGAAGTGACGATATTAAGAAACGCGTTAGAACGAGATGATAAGAACAGCACTGGATAGAGACAAGTGAGGGCCCATACCTAAAACTTGATAGAATAAGGCTCCACATAGATCCACAACTGATGCATCACATATGTGTTTTAAAATTATCTGGTGATTCAAAAATGAAACACAAGCTAAATAAATGGGCACAGATATTCAAAATAAGAGATACTCAAAATGTTTTGTTGCCGGTATATTACGAAAAAATAATTTCATAAAAGTATCATTAGCTTCGATCCTACTTCTATCGATTTTTTTGATAGTACGTGTTACAGCTGCGTATCTAGCAAAGGGGAAAATAAGGACATTGGCTGAACTGAGCTTAGTATTTGTTTTTATTGCTCGGTCTTTCCATATTTTAATTAATTTAGCTATTGCGATTCAGGCGGTTGCTAATCTACTTTTTATCTGAGAAGGTATCGCCATTATTGGTTATCAGCTAGGGCAAGTATACAAATATATCCACTACTTCGAAATTCGCCACTTGGTGTGTGCGTGTGTGCGGTTGATTATTATTTGCCCTGTCTGCGATCATTATGTTTGTTTTTCTATGCCCTTGCAAAACACAATCTTTTAGATTATCACAATCTTTTAGAATATCAATTCCCAGTGAGCTTGGATTCGCAGTCCACTTAATTAGCCATCGAAGAGAAGTCTCTTGACTTATTGTCGCTTCATATAGAAGTCTCTACTAACGTAGACAGGCATTTTATGTTACTATAACATGCCTATATATAAACAGCATTTTATTTCAATCCGAATTACCATAAGTGGTCCTGATGCGGAGTGAAAATTTGAAACACGTGTAGGATAATGGTGGAGCTAGAATTGAAAAATAATGCATCAACTTCCATTTTAAAGTCTTTTCTCTACGTGAAGAGTGCAAAAGATGGTGTTTTGCAAGGAATAAAAAGTTATTTCTAACATCGTCCATTCGCTTTCAGTAAGCTTGTATTCCCAGTTCACCTAATTAGCCATCGAACAGAAGTCTCCTGACTTCTTGTTGCTTCATATAGAGGTCTCTTCTAGCGTACACAGGCATGTTATGTTACTATAACGACCAAAACAGCATTTAATTTCAATTTGAGCTACCACAAGTCTTCTTGATGAGAGGTGGAACCTTGAAACACGTGTAGGAGAATGGTGGGGCTCAAATTAAAAGGAAGTGCAATCGTCTACTTTCATTGTAACGTCTTTATCTACGCAAAGAGTGCAAAAGATGGTGTTTTACAAGGGAAGATATATTGTCGGAATAAAAGGAATTCTTCGCCATCGAAGAAAAGTTCCTGACTTCTTGTTGATTCATATATACAGATTGAAACGAATTTAAAAACGGAACATACAATTTTAATATACGTCTATTTGAGCTGCATTTGAAATAGTGGGCCAATATAAAAACTTGGACAAAAATAAATCCATATCCGCTGATAGACCTTGTATAAAATATCGTTCAACTATCTGTCTACTTTAAGAACGCACCGTAGTCTAAGAGCAACGCCTAAAGTCAATGTTGCCAATCGCCGTGTAATAATCCGATTTGGGGATCCTGTTTGAGAGTTATATCTGCTTCGTATCTTTAAATAAATCGGATATTTGCCTATATTTTTCATTGTATTTACCAATCTACTACAACAGACTAATAACAAAAATAAACTTAATGTAGTTATTTAATTCTGTCCTGTAAATACATATTTTATGGGTTTACAGGAAAGAAACAACCTTATATGAGAAACAGCTAGAGGAATGAATAGCGGCAACACCGCTCTGGGCAAGTGCTGGTCTAAGGAAGTGAGAGTGGTTTGCAGTGTTCCAAACCTACCGATAAATCGGTAGATGTACGATTTCGCCGTTTTATTATTAAAATTATACCTAAGCGGTACTTTACAAAGTACAATGATGTCATAAAGGCTAATAATACAATAATAAATGAATCAAAATCCATTGTGATCCCGACCGCTTGGTACTGGGAATTTGTCAAGTTAGGAGACTTAAAACCGGAACAAAGCTTCCGAGTGCACCTCACGTAAAAACTCGGTAGTCTGTTTGTTTTATAATATTTCCTTATAAAAGGATTTTATACTCGAGGTTTCGGTTCTCGGATAAGTATTCGATTCCTAGTCGCAGACTCATTTAAAGATTTAAATTTCAGTCAGTTATAATCATCTTTGTAGGAATTAATTAGTTAAGAGTTTAGATTTTAATCAGTTTGAGTTTATATTTATATATTTTTTTCTTAATAAGTGTTGACTGTTTTAGAGAATGTCTGATTTGTTTAAGATCTAATATTTTCTGTTACTTATTTTAATTTGCCGTTATTTTCCTTAAGGTTAACCTTATTCACACAGGTTGTCATAACCATTTTCTGTCACTTTCTGTTCCGTTGAGTAAATTTCCGACTGATTTCGTATGTTTTAAATCATGACGCACGGGTAAAGATAAATTGACTCAACTGAAATACGTCGTTATTGAATTAGGTTATTGATCGAATTTCATTGCATGTGATTTCTCTCATACAACGTGAGATAAAATAAATAAATAACGAACATTTTCCTCTGGTTGGCAACACTGCTGAAATGTACAAGTCTAGCTTTCAATTTTTATACGTGATGGTCGGGGCAACCTTTTTGGGGGAGTTTTCACCTGTTTTAAACAACGAATTCAGAATCCAGCCGCCCGCTGAAGTATTGGATTTATATAATATAATTATTTGACACACCTTTTGTTGGCTAAGCACCTAAAGCGAAGTAGAGCCCATATACATGTATTTCCTATGTTCCGTTTTAACATTCGTTCAATCTGTATGTTGTAGACAAACGATGTAACACGTCGTTCCGTGAAAAGCCTAGACATTACACGTATTGCTGGCAAACTCTGTATTACAATCATTATTACGGTGTTTGACTGAAATTATGCGTTATTTCACGGACTGCCGTCTAAGCTTTAGGTAAAACGGTATTGGTGTTACAGTCCGAATGACTGAAAGTTACAGCGTCTGACGGTTGTATGTTCAGTCATTTATTAAATAAATTGCAAAAACAAATTGAGTTATTACTCTAGTCAACCTGGAGACAAAAAAAAAATTCCGAAACAAAAGAATGTAGTAAAGAAAGGTAGTTTGATAACATAGCTTAGTAAAATTAAATAGAAAGAAAGAAAAGAAAAAAAAAATAAGAAAAACGAATCAAAATAATGTTTGTTTTTTAATAAAATAGTGAATCAGTACCAACTACATTATTTCGTAACATGTTCTGTTACCTATTTTATTATTTATTTAAACAACTGGCGCTATGATGGCATCTAGAATTTTTCTTTTTAAAGCCTACATAGCGATTCGTTTAGCATTGTTTCTTCGAAGGTTTGCAAGAGCACATCATATATCCCTGACCATGACGCAATGAGACTGCAGCCGGCAGCGACAGCTTCTCGTACAGAAATATATTTATCCGGCACCTGTTTTATGCTTAAAAACTGACTATCTGCTGTAACAATATCCGCACGATTATATCAATCTTTAATTTTACCGACTGCAGTTCCTAGCTGAAAAACTCCATTTATGTAGTCAACAATAACACATAGTAAATTTTGCATGTCGCTTGGGCCACGATAAATTTTTCCAGTTGACAATAGTACAGTCTCCAATTTTTAAATTTGGCAATTTTTTAGCAGTGTTTGTCAGCATTTTTTCAGCAGCTCTTTTATGTCCCAAATGGCATTCGTTTCTGTCTCTCGCAATAGATGTTTGAATAGAACACAATACGCACGATATATTCCTGACATTTTTCACAGTTAAACACACATTACGACTTCTTGCCTTTCGTTGATATTTTCATATAATTTTTAGTTCCGGCCATAGTTTTACTAACTCGGTTTTTACACTGTTTACGAACTCGCGCCATTGTCACTTTAGAGGATAGCAGGTGCACCAAATTCAAGGAAAATTTTTATTAATTCCGAAGCCACTTCAATAGATTGATTGCTTCGATTTCAATGAACGTAGACAACTGAACTTCGTTAGGTGGTCTTGATAATTTAATAACCATTTGCAGTCTCCGTCCTCCAACCTGACATTATTGGTAATCAATCAAATCTATTTGAGCCCGAGAGCAAAATCCTTTTGAAATTATAGGCTTTGTTGCAAGATTGGCATATTTCTTAGCCTTTTTCAGTTACAAATTTCGCAAGAGCTTAAAAATAATTCTATAATTGGTCGTGAAATGTGATATTTAGATTTCAGACCAAATATGATTTTATCTCTGGATCCATGCCTGATGGAAATATGCAAAGAATATAATATGTCAAACAAATCTTCATACGGAATAAAGTATATAATGTTTTCAATATCTTCTAACCTTTTCTTGATTATAACTTGTTTGTGTTCCACCTCCAATGTATCATATATGGATAATAAGTGATACTACCTTCGGGTTTTCCCGTGCAACCTATAATAAACAAGATGATAGGTACCTAGTTTCTGATAATTAATTAGGAACTAACTGAAGAACTTGCATACTACTTTATTTACTACTTGCTTTTTCGAAATTATCAACCATGTTCTAATTTGAGTGGGATATTAATCTGCAGTAGTGTATAGGAATGAACGGCCGCGCATTTTTTATATTCAATGTTAGGTTTAAGTTGTTCTTACCTCATTCATTTCATCATAATTCCACGGCTTTTTGGAGTCTTTGTTCACTTGATAATATCGGTTTACTTTTTCATAATATACACCCTTGTGGGATATCCATATTTATATAATAATAAACACTTGCAACGAGATATGTGATAAAATCTTAATTCGACGACTGAATTGACTAAACATACAACCGTCAGATACTGTAACTTTCAATCATTCGGCCGGCATCACCGTTTGCCGTCTGCCAGGGACGGAAGTCCCTTAAATGGAGCATCATTTCAGTCAAACAAAGTAATAATATTGAAATCGTAGGCTTCCACGGTCAGAGTCAGAATTATAGTTTATTCGTCTTCCGGTTTGGACCGTGTCATTTGTGAGTGACCCAAAAGTAGGTTCATCTCGACGTTTCGCTACAATTGTATGTAGCTTCTTCAGGAGAACAAAGAAAAAGAAATCAAAAGACAGGAAGATGGGTAGTTAGCAACGGTAACTCAGTTACTCAACGCAACCAAAGGCCAGGAAGATAGGGGCGGTAATGGGTCCTTAGGAGAGGGTAGATATTGTGAGATTTTCTTGGGTGGTCGAAAAGTAGTCCTGATACCTTCTTTGCGAAGAATTTTGCCAATCCTATCAGTGACACTTCGAATATACGAAGAAAAGCCACAGGAGTATTACCCGAAGATTCTGAATTTGTCGTCCTAGGGTGTAAAGGGAGATGTAGATGTCGGTGTGTAATATTTTGAATTGTGGACTTGGAGTAACCGTTGGCGACAAGGGTTTTTTTACAGATGGCCAAGTTCTTCTCTAAGGTTGTCAGGTTCAGAAATCGAAATGGCCCGATGGATGAGAGAGTTTGATCACAGAATTCTTTTGGGCAGGATGGTGGTGTGATGAAGCATGTAGGTAACGATTCGTGTGTAGGACAACAATTCAGAATCTTCGGGTAATACTCCTGTGGCTTTTCTTCACGTTATATATCGAAGTGTCACTGATTAGGATTGGCAAAATTCTTCGCAAAGAAGGGTAATCAGGATACTTTTCGATCCACCAAGAAAATCTCACAATAATCTACCCTCTCCTAAGGACCCATTACCGCCCCTATCTTCCTGTGGTGTCTATTCTATTCCTTGTTCATGTGGACATGTGTATATTGGCGAAACATGGTCGTTCCGTCAAAACTCGGATTTAAGAGCATCAAAGATGCATTCGATCAGGTCTTTTCTCCCATTCTGCAGTTGCAGAACACTGCCAAGAAACCGGTCATTCCATATTGTTCGAAAAAACCCATATTATTTCTAAGAGCCCCTTCTTTTATTCCAGGAAAATCCGCGAATCTCTAGAGATCCGAAAAAAATCCACATAATATCAATCGAGAGGAAGGATACTACTTGTCTCCCATCTGGAATCTCAGTCTAGAGCCGCCGTCCGGTCCCGCTACCACGATGCAGCCACATGATTGGCCAGCGCGCGCTTCTTGACGTTCGCGCCACGGAGTGTGCCGATACGTCCCGACACGACAGGTCACCGCGACTATAAATAGAGCGGTAGCGGAGTAATCGTCGGATTCACTCCCCGCCTCTCGACGCGTTAGTGTTCTGAGCTGTTGGACGTGAATCCCTGTCCTGGCATTTGGTTTTCACCTCTGGCTGCGTTAAGTAGTTGAGTTACTGTGACCAAATGCCCATCTTGGTAGTTAGTATTCGCCTCTGGTTGCGTTGAGTAACTGAGTTACCGTTGCTAACTACCCATCTTCCTGTCTTTTGATTTCTTTTTCTTTGTTCTCCTGAAGAAGCTACATACAATTGTAGCGAAACGTCGAGATGAACCCACTTTTGGATCACTCACAAATGACACGGTCCAAACCCGGAAGACGAATAAACTATAAGTAATAATATTTATTAATTCCCTTAATGTTGTGTATTTTCCTCAAGCTTTTCGTATTCCTCATATTTCTTCTTAGTTTTAATAATTACCGAAACATCGATTTTCTTGTTTTTTTTAATTCGTAGGTGACCTTCATTTCTTCTCCGATACAGGCATTGCACATTCCATGTTTAAAAATTCGTATTCATTTTTTGCACCAATCCTCTATCTGGGACCAGAGTTTGTTCTCAGAGTACATTTTCTTAGATTTGTTTTTCTATAGCTATAGAGTCTTACCTTTCCCGCCTGTTGGCCAATCATTTCACATGTTTCCTTAAAATAAACTTGTTGGGGGTTCTTTTATCGGTATCCTAGGAACGATCTCTTTATGAGATAAAGAAAGACTCTCTTAAGCATATTATATAAAATATTAAATTATTTTTAATAAGCATTGTGCTTCAAATTACAGATGACTAAAACAACCAATTTGTTTTGTTGTAGATTGTTCAGATAATGGTTTATCTGTAGCACTGGGGTACATAGCACATGTTTTAATAATGTGCTCAACATTTCTTCAAGTACCAGTTAGATATTCATTGACCCATTACGGTTCCAGATCGTATATAGCTGATAATGTATCACCTATGCTTCTGGACAAAGATCGTCTGTAAGTAACTTAATTTTTAGTTTTTGTTTTAATTTACAAAAGTAACTCCCTCTGTGGCTCAGTGGTAAGAGCGCTACCTTTAAACATAACGGTCGTGAGTTCGAATCTCATCTGGGTGGAGAAATTTTCGTTTATTAAAAATTAAATGAATGAAAATAATTTCTATCCTTGTGCGATCGGTACTCACCGGAGGGACCGCAGACGTTCGGATACAATTAGCGTCTCTTAGCAAAGACAATGACGTCGACTTTGCTAAGTATCAAGACAATACTCTACACACACACACACACACACACACACACACACACACACACACACACACACTACACTAGGTATTTGACTGTAACATGCCAATGATCTTAGTTGTCGAGGCATTAACTCAATAATAATAATAATTTACAAAAGTTATATTTTAAATATTTTCTGTTTTAATATTAAATATTTTAAATATTTCTAAAAAAATTGAATTTATTGCAATTGAATAACGATCAAAAATAATTGGCAGGAGTCTGAGTATTCCTTCCACGTAAAACACTTCGAAGAAGATAATTCCTTGTTTCTTCGGAAAAACTGGGCATGTCGTTGCAAGACTAAACTAATCACTACAGACGGTTTATTTACCTTCAGTGGGGAATACTAGTGGTTGGTTAAAAAAAAAGTAACTATTTTAAGTTTAAAGAGGGATAGTTCCCGGGAGTTGACTGTATACCATAGTAGTTAAAAAACTTTTACATTGAAGTGAAAACTTCTGTTGTAGTTGGTATATAATTAATTACAAAATTAAATGGATTACAATATCTGATTTTTGTTCAGAACGAACGTTTTCGAACTTATCAGTACATTTTCAGTGAACTTTGAATAACCGCATATACCACTGATAACCGCATCAACAAGCAGTGAGTAGGTTTAAATTGGTAACTGAATACTAAAATTATTAAATTAAACGACATGATGTCGATGAATGATGTTTCGAAAGAAAAGAAAAGTACTGAGGCGAATCTATGGAGCGGTGAATGACAATGCAACTTCGAACTTATTATACCAGGAACTCTGTCAACCATTTTCTATCCACTCCTGAATGTAGGTCTCTCCCAATTGCTTCGATCTTTCTCTATCTTGCGCCAATCTAATCCACTGTTTGCCTGCCACTGCTCTTATATCATGTACCTATTTTTTTGAGGTCTTCCCGTGCTTCTTGTTGTCGTCCTTGGTCTCCATTCTAGAATTCTCCGTGTCCACCTGTTGTCATTATATCGGGCTACGTGACCTTCCAATTTCTTCCACAATATCCCTAATCTTCGTTCTACGTCTTATCTCGGTGTTTCTAATCTTGTCTCTCAGTGATATTACAAGCATAATTCGTTCCATTGCTCTTTGCGTTATTTCTAATTTTTTAGCAGATTTTTTGGTAAGGCGACTGTCTCTAAGCCGTAGGTACAAACTGGTATATGTAGTATGCATGTATTATATACCTTTTTCTTTAAGTTTACAGGAATGGAGGTGTTTTTCAAGATATATGCTAATTTGCCGAAAGCGCCTCATGCCAGTTGTGTTCTTCTTTTAATTTCAGCATCTTGATTTAAATTTCCTAGTTTGATGACATGACCTAGATATACATAATATTCAACATTTTCTATGGTATGATTGGTATCTATGGTATGGTATGATGAAAGAGCTGGACACCTGCATTCGCTTCATTGACCCAAAGGCCAACAACTATCAACCGTTTTGTAGGAATAGTTATCTCTATCGCCAAAAAACATATCCCCCGAGGTTTCCGAAGGAGTACATCCCAGGCTGGACGGAAGAAAGCCAAAAACTATATGACGAATTTTGAAATCAGAAGATCCCGAAATTGGTGACAACTTACTGAAGTCACTGGACTCAACAAGACTTAATAAATGGAAGTCTACCGTAGAACATATTGATTTCTCACGTTCCAGTCGAAAAGCATGGGGACTGATCCGCAAACTGGGCGAAGCAAGCAGAGCGCAACACTTAAACAGATCAACAATTGAGCCAAATAAAATAGCCAATAGAATAATTGAGAACTCCCGAGCTCCATCTGAGAAAACTCATACATCTACCGTAAAAAGAGCTCTTAAACAACTTAAAGCAAATACTCCCGCAACATCAGAATACTCACGTGCCTTCTCATTGGATGAAATAAACGAAGCGCTTAACCAAACTAAAACAGGAAAAGCAGCAGGCTTCGATGGAATGTATCCTGAGTTTATAGTCCACACTGGTACAAAAACACGACAGTGGCTCAAAAAATTCTTTAGCGACATTCTGAATACAACTGTGCTACCCCCAGAATTCAAAAGAACAAAAATTATCGCAATCCAGAAGCCTGGCAAAGACAACAAGCTGCCTGAAAGTTACCGGCCTATTGCCTTACTTAGTTGCTGTTATAAATTACTAGAACGACTTTTATATAACCGAATATGTAACACCATTGAGGATGCTGTACCAATTGAACAAGCTGGATTTAGAAGAGGACGAAGTTGCTGTGACCAAGTGTTGTCCTTAACTACATTTATTGAAGCTGGCTTTGAAAGACGCGAAAAATCTGCCATAACATTTATAGATCTCACGGCTGCCTATGACACGGTGTGGAGAGAGGGCCTTATTTATAAGCTGATGAAAATCATACCTTGCCTCAAAACTTGTCAGCTGATAAACAATCTACTGACTAACAGACTGTTTCAGGTATATATGAATGATGCACAGAGTAACGTTAGAAAACTTAACAACGGCTTACCTCAAGGCTCAGTGCTAGCTCCTTTATTATTTAACCTTTATACAGCAGATATACCTGAAACAAAATCGAGAAAATTTGCTTATGCTGACGACCTGGCCATTGGCTTCCAAGATAATAGTAAAGAAGCAGGAGAACGAGCTCTAAACGAGGACTTATCTACACTAAGTAACTATTTTAAGAACTGGCGCTTACGTCCTAACACAAACAAAACTGAAACCTGTCTCTTTCACCTGTCGAATCAACTTGCGGGCGATACTCTCAATGTAACTCTAAATGACACAGCTATCAAACATAACAACAACCCCAAATATCTAGGCGTCACACTTGATAGAACACTCACCTTCAAAAGTCATCTTACAAACGCAGCCGGTAAACTAAGAACACGAAATAACTTAATATCAAAACTTGCTGGAACAACTTGGGGTGCTTCTGCAGATACTCTTCGGACCTCTGCTCTAGCTTTGGTTTTTTCAGTGGCAGAATATTGTGCACCAGTATGGCTAAATAGTGCACATACAAGCAAAATCGATGTCCAACTTAACCAAACCATGAGAATAATCACTGGAACAATAAAATCAACGCCAGTGAGATGGCTGCCTACTCTGAGCAATATTGCTCCACCAGATCTACGCCGTACAGCAGCATTAGTGAGAGAGTACCAGAAAATTGTAGCCAACGTACAATTACCAATACATCAAGATATCCCAGACATCTCAAAAGAGCAACAACGATTGAGATCTAGAAATCCTCCAATACGATCTGCCCGAAAAATTGGTAATTCCTATGATATACATAGGCAATGGACAACAAGATGGATGCCAACAGTAGAATCGGACTATATTAAGATATCCACCCCAACTCAGGGTTTCATCGGATCAAATCTGCCCCGGTCCATTTGGGCAAGGCTTAATCGTATACGTACCGGACATGGTAAATGTGCTGATTCGCTGTTCAGGTGGGGTCGTGCAGAAAGTCCACAGTGCGATTGCGGAGAATCTAGACAGACCATAAGCCATTGTGTTTCAGACTGCTTGAATCGTGCCTACCGTGGAAACCTCCAGGACTTTGCGGAATGTTCCCCAGAAGCAATTGAATGGCTATGTAAATTGGACATTAATATTTAGTGTCATTCATTCTATTTGTACTATTTTTAGTGTTTGAATAATATAAATAATATATATGTGTATATTATTGTAAATGTATTTGTATATTTATCGTACTGTTAAAGTCCATACGCTAATAAAATAATATGGTATGATTTTGTATTGTTATATTTTTTGTCCTGGTCTCGCCATCAGTATTTTCGTTTTAACCGTAGTTCATTTGTAAAGCCTACCGCTCCTGAAACTGCATTTAATTGTTGTAACATATCATTTAGTGCTTAGATATTATCGGCTATTAAAACTGTGTCCATCTGCGAATCTCAAGTGATTTAAGTATGATCCGTCCGACGTTTGATACCCTTGTATGTTCCATACTAGTTTCTTTAAAATGTCTTCTAGAGCAATGGTAAATAGTTGGGAAGATGGTGTCTCCTTGTCTTACTCCGCGTTGTAGTCTTATGGGATTAGTTTTTGTGCTTTCGTCCATGGTGCATTTTCATATATGTTTTAATTATGTAAGTGTATCTTGAATCTGTACGTGCATTTTCTGAGATTCAAGCACTGCCCATAAATTCGATGGAATTGAATGCTTTATGGAAATCGACGAACGCTATATGAATTGGAACATTATACTCGGTGCATTTTTCTATATGTGTGTCTTACGGTGTTTAGCGTGATAAGCAATGTGATATCTATATGTGATAGCAAGGATAATGGTCGGTTATTCTCGATGTTTTGCTTTGTTTCCTTTCTTGAATAGTAGAATGACTTCGGAGTTGTACCAATCTTGAGGAATCTTTCCTTCATCAATTACTTATTAAATAAAATATTTAATACCTGTTCCATTTTTTCTCCCACCAGTTTTCAACATGTCAACTGTAATTTTATCCTCTCCCCGGCCATTTATTCGTTTATAGTTTTATTTATGATCATTCTTATTTCATAGTCGGTTATGTCCGGTATTTTGTATTATATCTTTTATTGGATTATTAGCATAGTTTGTATGATCGTTCCTAATTCTTTCTTCACGTTTTTTGTTTAAAATTTTGAAGCTGCCCGAAGTCCGATGTGTTCTGTTTCGTCTTTCTTGGAGTAGTTTAATTGTATTAGTTGGAGTTTAGATGTTTTTGGCTGTTTTCGTGGTTTAAGCATAATTTCTTAACCGATGTTCTTACAGTTACTTTTATTTATTGGCTAGTTCGTTTATATCCATTTATTTCAGTGTCTCTATTGATTTTAGTCTTGTGCTTAGCTCTTTTGGTATTCCGTTTGTTTTTGAAACAGGACATCGGTGGTTGGGTAATCGTTCTCGTTTAATATAAGTTTGGTTTCGTTCTTACTCTCATCTGTATTCTAATATTTGCTCTAACCAATCTATGGTCACTCCCGGTATAGAATTTGTTTAGTACTGTCCTCGTCGGTGCATATGTTTTTGTTACTGGAGAGTAATGTAGTCTCTTTCGTTCGTAGTTTTCTTGTCTGGGCTGATCCATGTCCCATTTACGTTGTTTAGATTTTTTAAAGAAAGTGTTGAGACAAAATAAATTTTCGTTGTTAAGTAGTTGTAACATCTCACCCCTTTCGTTCCTGTTGTCCAGCCCAAAGCGACCGATATCTTGTGTGTCGCCCTCTTCTTTTGTTCCAATTTTTGCATTAAAATCTCCTGTGATTATTAGGAAGTGTGATTTTTTTTGGTTCCTTGCTGTTATCAGATCCTCGTAAAATGATTCAGCTTCCTCTCTGTTGAGTTTTCCTGTCGGTGCAATATCCGTGTATTACCTATCTGTAAGCAGTATCTGCTGTTCAAAGCGAATGAATAAGATATATGACTCTGTTTGATACAGCACAGTACTTCGTTATTTTATAGGGAGTTCGTTTGTTTATTAGGAACGCTACACCGCCTATTAGATGATTTTATGCGGAGTTTTTACCAGAACTAGATATCGTAAAATGCACTAAAATAAGACATCTGAGGTGAATAGGGCATGGTAATGCGGATGAACAAAACGAACCAGATACAAAAAGACTCCTTGATAGAACCATTGGTCAGAGAAGAAGAGGAAAACCCAGAACAAGGTTCCTTGATAGCATCTATGAAGACATGATAAATATGGAAATACGTGCCTGGCGAGGAAGGCAATGCTTAGGGGCGACTGGAGATAAATTATTGAAGAGTCTAGGATCCACGCAGGCTTGTAAAGCCATAATGATGATGGAAATGAATAATGTCGATCAATATAGATTAACTGTCGCTGGAATGGCATGTCCCTACTCGAAACAGCGCTTACATGATTTTGGTCTGCAATAGCAAACCAACTGATTTAAAAAAAAAAATAAAAAATATTGTGCGAAAGTGATAATTCCGAAAATTTAATCCATTTGGATTTTAAATTTTTAATATCAATTGCAAACAGAACCTTATCAAATCAATATAAAAGTTTATTTTTTAACTTTCGAACTCTCGAAGTAATAATTTATCAACCATTAAGACCCGATTTGAATCCAAACGCACGATTTTTATTCTCGTCTATCACAGATAAGTTTGCAGGATCTCGGCGCTTGCAGAAGCGGTAATGATTGTCATGTGAAATAATCTGATTTATTTTTACCTATCAAACTAATTTTATTTGATTTCACTTCAAACTCTTTCACAAGTGGTAGTAGGGGATATGATAGTTAAAATAAATTCAAAATATTCCAGTCTGTAGTGTACTCTCAAGTACATTATATACAAACAACAGAGAATCGAAGCCAATCAGTATTGAATGAAGCATAACAGGGCTACTCTAGGTACATTATCCTTTTTAACGTGTTTTCCCGAGTATATATTTAGACAGCCTTTAAAAGATCAAAAAGAAATTATCATAGGAGGAGAAATAATTAACAATATACGATAAGCTGACGATACTGTGATTCTAGCTGAAAACATCGACAACTTGTAACAAATAATCATTAGAGAATAATCAATAGAGTTGACATATAATGCAAAAATTAAAGATTCTGGATAAAAATCCGCGAAACTATATATATGGCGACCAGTAAAGACGGATATCGACTTAACCTAACTGATATTAAACCAAAAAACGCTAGAAAGTGTAGAACGATTCAAATACCTTGGATCGTAGATTACTCAAAATTTAGCCAGTCAAGACCAGAAGCACATTTCAAAAATTCAAGCCTTTATTATCCAATAACTCATTGAATTTAAAAATCAGTGAAAAGTTTACAAGTTGTTATGCTATAGGACTTTGAAGGTCGATACCATGAATAAAATCCAGGCATTTGAAATGTGGTTGTATCGAAGAATACTCAAGATACTGTGGGCCAGCAGAACCTGAAACGAAGAAGTTCTTCGAAGAACAGCACATCAACGAACTCTATTAAATATCATTAAGAGACATAAGCTAGAATATTGTGGACATAAATATAATCAACTGACCAAGATATGAGTTTCTTCGGCTAAAGAAACTCTCCTGGTCGAGAAATTTGTGACAGTGGACAGGTTTAATAGCAGACCAATTGCTACACGTAGCTTAAGACCGAGATCGATATAGGAATATTGTAAGCATGGTAGTCGCCAACGTTCCTATGAACAGGGCACTCAGAAAAAATTATGGCAGTCTACTGGATCCACTGACAATATGTTTAACAAATTACAACGGTTGATTAATGTAATTATTTCTTGTAAATCATTGTTTGTCAACAGTTTATGGCGTTCTTTTATTTGTTCATCCTCTTCTGCAACTTAAAAATTAACATCTCGCTCCCAACATCTCTTGCTACTTGAATGATCACTCTAACGTCTCCACATATCGTTGATAAGTTATTTATATTTTCCATAAACTCTTCCAACAGGCTCCGTCCGTCTCTGGATTCAGTTCATCCAACGCCGTTTTTAATGTTTCATATTTATATTTATTATATTATATTAATTATATTATATTTAATTATATTATATTTAATTATATTATATTTAATTTGTTATTATATTTAACAATGTTAAAATAATTGCATAGTATGTCTATTATTGTCGTAAGTCAATTAAACCGGGTTAATTTTTCTATGCACACCACATAAATTTTCACTGAACAACACTGGTTCCCTGTGGCGGAACGTCTGCGTCTGCGCGCACGAAATGCGCGTACTTAATTTTCCATGGAGAGTGGGCATTCTGGTTGTTTATTATTCTGTGACATTACATTGTGTTGATAAATGAGACGATGGTTTGATACCAATCTTCCGGATACAGTGACACTACTGTACAAAGATTTATGAATATTATGACCCTTCTTTTTATCTTGAATCATTTTAGTAACGAATATGTTTTAATTGACGTATTGTTTTCAGCTTTCCATTGTTTACTAGAGGAAAAGAGAAGGTTCAGTTCACATACGCCGTCTACCTACTCAATAAGAATCTTGCTCAGTTCAGATGGCTTTTCTACATGAATACGACCGATTTGAGAGCCACTCTGCATAACCTCTTGACATTTCTCCAGAATCCCCGAGAACTTAGAACTGATGCTTCCTCTTGTGCTTCTACGAAACCAAACCTCAACATTCACAAACCAGTGATACCTATAGAAAAAACGGAACGGTTCGTTAGTCTACGTAGTTTTAGTTCTATTTCAAATGTATCAGACCCACTTTTAGACTGCATAAGACAAGAAAATCGATTAGAGAGATCCAACAATCCGAATAGTAGATTAGAAAGAAACCCCAATGTAAAAAAATGTACACACGGAGAATGCGGAAAAGGTTTGGGCGAGATATTGGCCGTTCCCGAGGCCTATATGAATCGGCAAATTAGTTCGGATTCTTTTAGAAACTTCGTAGCTATTAAAAGTAAAGTTAAACAGGAACCAAATACTTGTTGTGGTGAGTATTAATAAGTAGGTAAAGAGGGGCGGACTAAGACCTAGGCAACATATTATGCATGTGTCTGGGGCCCGAAAATTAGGTTTTTATTTTTTAATGTCTAAATAAATTGTTAAAGTGATTTTTGCGGAAACACATAAAAAATGTGAACAGCAGCACCCGTACTATAAACTATTTAATTACTAATAAACTGGGAATAAGCCACAATTAAAGATAAAAATACGTTTATTGACGTTTCAATTTCCACTTCGGAAATCGTTCTCAAAATACAAACAGTAAATTAAACAAATTTTGTTTTTTGTTACATAGTGAAAAATTCTTCTAATAATTTAATTTTATCTGACTCATTTATATTGACAATTCAGACATACATTATGCATTTTAAAGTAGACGACTTTAAAATGATATTGCCAATATTGTCGAGTTGCGCTCCTGGGACGACTTTACTTATAAGATAGTTCATTCGATTACATGAAATCAACTTTAACTTGAGAATATCCGTCAGAAAAAAATCATAGCATGTAATTCGCCTTTAAAAAGACAAACACATGACATGATGACAGTAAAATTCTCCTGTTAGTGATTCCATAGTAAATTATGAGGGAAAAACCAGGAAAAAAACCTCATAATACTATCCCGACATTGTAAGTATTTGTTCGTGAATTTAGTTTACCTTCAACAAACATCAAAATTCTGATTTTATATGTTACGTTATTTAAAAAAACATAAATGATGTATCCTCTATATGTTACTGACTTACTAATACTGGTATTTTCTTATTAATAACTTCCTCTTTCTATATTGGTAACCAGATCCTACTACATTCTGCCGAGGAATTTGCGACACAATTGGCCTGATTTAGCATAATTAGAGCCGCTTCTTCTATAAATGAGTCAGATAAAATTAAATTATTAGAAGAATTTTTCACTATGTAACAAAAAACAAAATTTGTTTAATTTACTGTTTGTATTTTGAGAACGATTTCCGAAGTGGAAATTGAAACGTCAATAAACGTATTTTTATCTTTAATTGTGGCTTATTCCCAGTTTATTAGTAATTAATTTACAATGCCACAAGAAAATAGCTTCGGAACAATATAAACTATTGGTCGTCTACAAAATGTGATAAATTTATTTCTATTATATCGAAAGATTTACAACTCACAATAGTGAACGAAATAAAGGAAGCCAAATTTTGTTCTCTAATTATTTATTCAACCCCTGATATATCTCACGTAGATCAGCCAGAGTTGGGTCGGATACTGAAAAAAAGTATCCGAATACCGGATACGGATACTCAAAATGTATCCGGATACTTTTTAAAAAAGTACGAATACTTTCATTTAAAAATGTATTCGGATACAAATATTAAAATTTCAAATTTTTTTTGATACTTCCTAGGATATTTTGAAGGATACTTTTTTTAAGAAGGACATAAATTATTAGTATTAGAACTATGTGATGTGCATGTATTTTTAGTGTAATATATAATAATAAAAATACATTAAATGATGGAGAAAGAAATCAGAAAGTACTCGAAAAATTGTTGCTTATGAATAATAAAACTAGAACATAAACATAAGGAAACATTAAATTAAAATTTAAACGTACTAATACAGAAAGTATTCCAATTGCTGGCGAACTCAAGAGTGAAGTGCCTTTGAATTTGCCTTTGTAAGTACCAATACCTCAAGTGTTGTTGTCAGTAAGCATGTGTTGTACTTTATTGACACCCTTTTTAAGATTGGGTATTCATTTAAGATGTTCAAATTGGTTCTTTTGTCCTCCAAATATCTTAGCAATACAACTGTACTTTTGAAGTTTTATTATTGATGCTGAAACCCTGTTCATTCTGTGTATAATTAATAGTACAGCTGTTGTCCACTTGCTGGTCTCGAAAATTGCTGAAATCAAAAAGTCATCCAAATTTTGATCTCCACTTTCATCTGATTCATGGCAACTTTCTAATTCCATTTTTGTTTTGGCGACAGTTATAATGCATTTTTTATATCTTCTATAGTTTTTTTTTTTGTAATTTTTTACGACATTGTACCACTTAACCTTAAATTTAGGGAGAAGAACTGCAGCTATAATTGGATCTTCCATTCCAAATTTAAAATGTTTGCAAAACGAGTATTTAAGCTTTTAATGCACATTTTTCTAGATGTTCTCCTCCATATTTTAATTTCGTTTGGGCAAGAAGTTTCTCATATTTATTAATTAATGAAATTAAACTGGGTAACAAATATCCAAAAGATACATTGTCTTCACCTTGTAACAAATCTAACGTTGAGGCCAAATGTTTCATAACTAAACAGTATTCCTCTAGGTATAACAGTTTAGTTTCCTTAAAAGCCTCTAACGTTAAATTTTGTTGCAAAATTGGAAGTTTTTCTTTTGCTTTAAGAATCTGCGAAACGGCATCAAAAGTGGAGTTCCATCTAGTGGTCCCTGGAGAACTTAAAGTATGCCCTAAAAGTTTATTTATAATTTCATTACTTTTTGGTGTATTTGATTTTTTCCATAATTGAGCACATTTACTAAATGAATTCATTTCTCTTGTTTGTATCGCTGGAATTTTTGTTACAGTGTGTTTATAACCGGTTGTGGCTATTAAATTTAAAGTATGTGTGGCACATCGCATATGTTTGGGTAACTGTATATCCTGGTCTTCTAACTCTTTTCCTTCATCGGCTTGATCAATGTCCAAATGTAAAATTTGCAATTCATTTTCTTCTTTTTCACCAATTTCCTTATCGCCGAATACTTTGAATAACGAAATATCTACCGTTACTGTCCCCACAATTTTATTTTCTGTTAAGCCAAATTTTTAATTTATATCTTCCAGCATTTCAACTATGCTTCTGTATGAGTGAATACCTTTAAACCTAAAATAAATATTATAATTATTAACTTTTTGTGTATACGAACGTCGTACGTGTAGTGTAACACGACTTGAATTTGTATAGCAGGATAATTATAATCTATTCACCTTCTACATGCAAGTGCAGCTGATTTTCGGTTAGTCTTCATCCAACCAGTGAACGGTAACTCCTAAGAAGCTTCTTTTTTTATTTGACCATGTCAGCTGTAGTGCATACGTAATTAACACCCCTAATTTTATCTTTAATAGCTTTCATATTTTCATTGTGAGAATCTGTAATTCGTTTCATTACTGTCTTTCTTGTTGGTATTTTCAAGTTCAATCCTTGGAAGATATCCTTAAAACGTTGGTGTTCTATTATAGATATTGCATTCATGGTGCTCACAACAAAATTTATTATTCTTTTTTCAAACAGAGATTGGCTTAAAACTGATTTGCCTCCTTCTTTGGTGATTCCAAAAGGGGATGGTTGAATAAGGTTAGCATGTTTGGGGTGTCGTCTTTCGAAATTTTCAGTTGTATTAAGTCTCTTTCTGGTTAAATCTTTCTTTGAAATTTTATACTTATCGTACTCCTTAATTTTATTAGGATGATTCATTTTTAAGTGTTTAAAAACATTTGAAGTAGAACCTTTTGTTCCTTTTATGGGTTTCTTATGTGGAAGGTAAAGTTGACAATCCGCTATATGTTTTCACCATCGTTTTCTCTTATTTTAAAGTATTTTCCATCTAGAATGGAGGAACTAGACGCTACTTGTGAACTCTGTGGAACATCGGGCTTTTCTCCCATGTCTTTAACAATCTTGTTAGAGGTTCGGATATGATAGAAACTTGGTTCGATTCATTTTCGTTTGAAGAAATTCATAAGAGAATTTCACTTAGCTTTTTGATGTAAACTTTGCTCGAAATCGGAATCTGATAATTCTTCTGGTAGGTGTAGCTGATAATCAGGATCATCTGAACTTGTAGCAAATGGATCTTCTGGAGTGTTATTCTGTTCTTGATTGGAACTGGTAGATCCAACTACAGGATCAGTTGAATCCATGTTGCTCTATCTGGAATTAAAAAAAAAATTGTCTAGGTTACGTAAGTTACTGCTCCAGTTGTTTGGTTGTATGAAATATAGTTAGACATAGACCGTAACGTAATATTGTTTTTTTGATTTCTAGAAATTCAAAGACCACGCTTTCATTTAAAAACTTAAAAAAAAAATCTTCAAATTATGAGCAGGTATATACATTTTTTAGCTTACTTAACCATCTGTATAAGCTCTTTACTCGAATACTGACAAGCAGATTGGAAACTAAACTGGAATTCTACCAGTCCGAAAAACAAACAGGATTTTGATCAGGTTACGGAACAAATGATCATCTACAGTGCCTCAAAAATCTGATCGAAAAGTCGATCGAATATAATAGACCCCTTGTTCTCCACATTTTTCGCTAGTTTTACATATTTTCCTTGTTGAAAAATATGTATATCTGGCTGGGACATGAAATAAGATTAACGCGAGACAACCAGACATCTGAGCTGCTCAGAATAATTAGCTTAGGATGGGCAGCGTACGGAAAAATGAGAGATATATTCAAAACAAATGTTCCAATTCACTTAAAACGAAAAGCCTTCAACTGGCGTTCTGCCAGTTCTGACTTATGGAGCAGAAACCTTGACTCTCACAAGATCAACAGCGGAAAAATTGAGACGAACACAGCGTAGAATGGAGAGATTAATGCTTGGAATAAGCTCGAGAAATAGAGTAAGAAACGAGCAAATTCGTAGACAAACCGGAGTGGAAGACATTATCGAACGTATAAAAAGGCAGAAATGGAGATGGGCAGGTCATGTTGCAAGAATGAAGGTCGGCAGATGGACGAAAAAGTGGCTTGAGTGGAGACCACGAGTAGACAAGCGTAGCCGGGGAAGACCACCAACTCGATGGACAGACGACCTTAGAGACTTGCGACAAACTGGATAGTACAGGCACAGAATAGAGTTAGGTGGAAATATCTTGAGGAAGCCTATCTTCAATAATGGACAAATCAGGGCTGATTGATGATCTCAATAAGTAACCAAAATCATTTGCTAATGTGAATTATTGACTCCGTTTTCGTAGTGACGCTGCGTGATCGGCGATCGTATAAGTAGTCTTTTAAAAACTAATTTTATTATATTTTTAATTATCATCAGATATTTATAATATCGAAAATTAAATGCAACTTACCTTTAGACAATTCTACAACTTTATATATGAGTTTTCGTCGCGAATCAAATGCACAACAACTTTTATAACTTATTATGTTACATTTAACACACAAAAATGTCAATTTAATTTATGTAACATATTTTCTACCATAAACTAATTATTAATTCAATGCTTTTAGAATCATCTCCAGATAACAGTTTGTCAAATTTCATTAAAATAACCAACGGCAAAGAAATTCCTATAGAAAAACTTCCAGACCCGAAGAAACAGTCCTTAATAGAACAAGGTCATGACCCGTTAGCCAACACTTCCAGTTCATTACCCATCATGAGGTCTACAAACCTATTTTCTGCTCATTTAAGAGAAAAATCAGACCACTATAACAAATATGAAAATCATAGAATAAGTCGATCTGTAGGTTCCTACTCGGAAGAAGACCATAAGCTGGTATTGAGAAGTGAGTTTGAACTGGGTTCTGAACCATTGTTAAATCAAGAACATACCGAAAATAAAGAAGATCAGAAAGTATTTTTGAACAAATGGCTAGCCACTGCACCTAGTTTTGTTTGTAGCAGTGAAGAGACTCTGTCCGAGCCTCATGGTAATGCTATTTCTGAGAAAAGTCCTTTGATGGCCAGAACTAATGCCTTACGTACCACTACTTCCTTTAATTTGGTAAGACCGAAGTAAAACTGTCACACTTGTCAATTATTGAGGTTTATTACTTCTGCTGTTATTGTTATTATTTTATAATATACAGGATATTTTTTAATGTCCATGTTTGCTTAATATATGTAACATGTTGAAATATATATCAGAAAAAATTACTGGATATATATGTACGGTTGAAAGTACAAGAAATGAACATACACGAGATATATTTTACAACACTGCACAGTATAGTCACCTCTAGTCATTGTTTTGATAGATAACATCATTGCAACGATATTATGAACATTAGAAAAGAAAGAGAAAATTGAGTGTTAATTGTTCGCTAGTAGGCTATGTTAAATATATTGATTTAATTTACCAATATTTTTTCGCTAATAATTTTAATCGTCATTATAGCTAAAATAAGAAGCATTCTAAAGAAAAAGAAGGAATGCTAATAAAATAAAGAGAACTTAAATTGGTATTTGTCAAAAAAATTATTATGGCGTCTCTTGTTGATCATAAAATGATTCTCTCATATTTTTCAGCCTGACTGGCATTATTCATCTAAAAATTTACCAATACATAACCAACAATAATAAATATGATATGATATCACCCTACAAATTTAATTTGTGTCCAATTTCTTATTGTAGTGCCTATCCGTTTCGGATTTTGGTGACCATCATGGCAATCTGTATTTTGCAAACTGCCGCTCTGAAGAGATTTGTGGTTGTTGTGTTAAACCACGTACTAGATTTTTCGGCCAGGAAATTCTTCGCCTTCCTGGTCTTCGTTTTCCTTCTACTTTTCCTTGAAGAATTAATTGCACCAACCCATATATTTCATTGTTCCTCATGATGTGACCGAGCTATCAATTTTGGCTGTTTTTATTGTGGTTAGCAACTCTTTTTCCTTTTTGCATTCTTAATAAAAAGTCCTGGTTAGTAACGTGGTCGGTATGGGATATCCTGGTCGAAAGCCTCAATTGTCTTACAGCTACGTCTGTGAGAGTCCATGACTCAACTCCGTACAATCGTATAGGAAAGATATAACATCGTAGTAACTTGAATGTGTCCATACAGGTATATTTAAATGCGTACTCTCCCTGGGCCGAGAATTTACATTCTTTATATTTTACTTTGCTTTGATGAAAAAATATGTTTCTTGCATACATAAAATATTGAAAGAAAGATTGGAATAATAATTACCTTAATCATGTTTTTAAAAACCAAAGTACGTTGTTAATGGTCGCTTTGTAAAGTATACTGAGTATGACGGACGTCATAAGACCAAAATCCCTGTGTTAGATTGTTAGAGCGGAGTGAAGTAGCAAATTCGGTGAGATTTGTGGAACCTTTTGCCCTCCTTTTTTACTGAGGCTACTTATGTTGTTTCCGATAAGTTCTTAAACTATCCCACTTAAAAGTATATTATTCAAGTAATGTTAACTCGTATATGTTCAATTCTTTGACTTTTCGTCCGGTATATAATACGACAGTCCCATAGTGGCTGAATTACCAAAGGTAGATTGAATTATTGCGGAAGGTAGTCATATTCAGTCTTATTAGATAAAACTCTTTGAAGTAGTTTCTTGAATTTTGTAGTAGTTTGAATTTATATGTTTACCGTTTGTTTATGAGATCCAATTTTGGCCACATAAGTAATAAATATTGACTTCACGGGTAATTTTCTGATTTTCTGCGACCAGAGGAGAGATCTGTAGGAGAGCCAAGAAAAAGGGAACATCCATAAACTACGTCGTAAGAAAGAGGGAGAGGGCATGAGTGCACATCCGACGTCGTTTGGTGTATTGCAGTTTGTCACTATTGTCTCTATAAATATAATTTTTTACTAGCTGCTACTAGAGGGCAGTATGGTTGAGTTTACCGAAAGTACAAGCTGATTATAGCCGCAAATGTCAAACATGAAACAAAAAATTTCGGTTTAGCAGTGTTGGCATGTTTTTATAATGTATATGCTGTATGCTTCAAATATTATGTTCAATATTATGTTATGAATTCTGCAATTTTTGATTTATATAAAACAAGAATGAGTAAATATTTGTTTCTGTTGATATTTCTTCTTCTTAAGGTACCTTCTCCATTATGAAGGTTGGCTATAACTACAGCAAATTGCTCTCTATGCTGTTCTTAGTATCGAATGTATGTCCATACCTATCCAGTTTCTTACATTCTTCAACCAGGAGCATTTTCTTCTTCCTGGACCTCTTCTTCTTTCCACTTTCCCTTCCATTATAAGTCGTAGGAAGTTGTATTTTTCTCCTCTGTAAATATGTCCTAGATAACTCGTTTTTCTGTTTTTTACAATATTTAGGAGTTCTCTCTCAGTACCCATTCTTCTTAGCACCTCGTTGTTGGTCACGTGCTCTGTCTAAGAGATCTTTAGCATCCTTCGAAAAACCCACATCTCAAAGGCTTCTATTCTTTTGATATTAATTGAAGTTAATTATTAGAATTTTTTTTACTAATTGCCCTTTGATAGAATAGGAGATAGATTTGGCAATCGTTAAATCAGCAGTTGCCAGATTGCAACAGATTTTTGCAATTAATCTCGAAAGACACAAATATTTACTCGTTATTGTTTCATATAAATTGAAAATTGCAGAATTCATAAAATAGTATAATCAAAATGTACTTTTTATAAGCTTTCTCTCTTTATATTTGAAGCACACAACATATGCATTATAAACACATCCCAATACTGCCAAACCGAAATATTTTATTTCACGGTTGACATTTGCGGCTATATTTAGCTTGTAGTTTCGGTAAACTCAAACGGTAGTATGATTAAAAGTATCAGTTAATTTTAAAAAATCGAGAAATAATATTAAATTTAAAAAAAATCACTGAAATTGGAGTTCATGAGTTGCAATTGCGACGTCACGTCGGCATGAAAGAAAGCCTTTACTGTAAACGGCGTTCCACGACAAAGGGGTGGAAGGGTATTAAAAGGTCCAAATATTCTACGACGTAGTGTATGGATATTTCCAAAGGTGGAAATATGCAGTCACAGAGGATCTGGAGAAAATGGGAATGAGACAATGAAAAATAGTGCCACACGGCCGACAATCATGGAAAGCAATAGTAAAAGCGACAAAGACTCACCAAGAGTTATAATCAATTGATAATGATAGGGGTACTTCTATGTTCGTAATTAACCCCTGAAATCCATATTGCGCAATTATGAGATGTATCAAAAGAGCACACCCAAATAAAGCTGTTAAAATAGGTATTTATAAGTGTCAGAATGGATATTAGTAAATAGAGGTCTTTGTCGTTATTCATTACTGTCCACTACAAAGAGTGCTATATTTTTAAAGGTGTCCACAGCACTTTTTGTTATAACATATATCTAAAAGCCTGACTTATATGACTACTTTACTCAATAATTGTATATACAGTGCGGCTTCAAAGTCTCCGCAACTTTATCATCTGAACGATCGAACTTAAATCTTTAGGTACCTGAACTGAGGCACATTTTCATTATTTTATTACTTTTTAGTCAACGTTGTCATTAAAAATGCGGACAGATCATAGGCAAGTATTACCTCATTTAAGTTCTGTTCAACCAAATCTACACGATAAAATCTTCTCGTATACAAAAGTACATATCTTGGAAAATAGCGACCATTCATCATCATCTTTTGCTCTACATCCCTGGGTGGGTCTTGGCCTGTTCAAGAATTAGTCTCCATTACCCCATATCTTTTGGCCTGGCTTTCCAATTTCTGGAAAATGGCGACCGTTTATGAACATGTATCATGCCATTGCTTCAAAAAGTATGAACATGTATACTATCAGTTACCCAAAAAAAATTATTAAAGTTTTATTGTTCAGAAAAATATGATGCCGCAATTTTTATTATGTAAATTAATATTTTGAGATTTTTGGACCGAAACTGAGAGTTGTATAAGGTATCATTGAAAATGATGTAAACTAGCTTTCAAATGAGGTATTACTCGCCATTTGATCGCATAATTATCGTACAATATGCCACAAAAGTATCATTTCAAAGGAAGTGTCACATGACCATCTTTTAGTATTAAAGAAAATTGAGTGTTAGGCTGTCACCTGAAGATGGTTCATCGAAATACCGAGTAGAAATAAGTTTAGAACTCAACGTGTCCGAGCGTTTTTATTCTACCGTTAAAACAAACTAGTTGACAGAGGGGGGGTAGGACTTCCTCTCGCTGTATGACTTATATTGTTTTTCTATCCACATACTTCATTAAAATTGAGTTATTCTTATTACTAGCGTTTGACTGCTCTTCGATACTGTAGAAATATTTATTGTGATGCCGTAATCATAAGAACATATAGTTTTACTTATAAAGTGCTATAAAAATGAGTATAAATTATTTTTTGTCTATTCTAAAAATGATGAGCTTGGCGGAAGAGTTACCCAAATATGTTCATTTTAGCAAGAAGATTACCAACGGTATACCCCTGTAAGCGAGTCCCCAAACAGTAGTATTACATTCGATTACGTATAATAATTCATTACAAACATTACTATGTTATAATAGTATATTACATAACGAGAGTTGTAAGAAGCTTATTACATGCAAATAAAAAAAGTTGCTCGCGAGCCGCGTAGCGGCGAGCGCAGTAATTTTACAAGCATGTAATAAGCTTACAACTCAAGTTGTGTACTATACTTTTTCTACGAATATTTTCGTTTATAAAAATAAAAATTAAATTACCACTATATTTACACTGACAGATTAATATTTTTTAATCTGTCAAAATAACGTCTGTTAATTCGTTTCCATGGTAACTCGACCAACTTACTTCCGAGGCTTATGTGATATTACACATTTTTATAAAACTGAAGCGTAATTTTTTTTATTACGTGCTAGTCATTACGTGTCAGTATCTGTTATGATGCATTTACTTGGCATCCAAATAGTAGGTAATATACAACTTACTAGTAAGAGAGTCGAAAAACTATATTTCGGTCCTTTAACATCAGCTACAAGCTTCTAAAACTGAAGAAGTTTTCTTCAAGGATCAGCAAGAAGCATCACTACCTGACTTGACAATGGCAAGTGTGACCTTGATACCTATCAGCACTGTTAGACACTAGACACAAACTGA